CTTTCCCCAGCAGGATCGTCCGCCCATATCGGCCCAGGCACGGCACGCTCGTTCGGATTTCGCGCCAGCCACCCTGTCAGCTTACACTTACACCGCATACCGCTACACGTAGTGCCAACAAGCGCAAACGTTGCCTGCCGTGTGGGAGATCCCGCGTCGTGTCATGATATGTATATGTGAGATCCGTAAAGGGGGAAATTGATATGTGACATACATACATGGCTTCCCTCGGGGCGACGAATGTACCCAACGTACGTATATCCCTTGCGGAATTCCGCCTGCGAGTACAATACCATCCCCATCCCCATCCCTTCCAGCCGTTGCTGCGGGAGGGGCCGCATTAAACCCCACGTCATTCACATTCGTGTAACGACCCCGTACTTATTCATGCGTCATGCGTATATATAGGGTATATACCTATGCACGTATGTACCTAATATACTATATTTTTATATTATATGTAGGTCATATGCTGGTCTCTACACGAAACCATCTGCTGGCCTTGCCTACACCGACCTACGTATATGTAAGGAGCCGGGAGGGCACCGAACGAAAAGTCGTATTAATACCGAAGTTGGGAGTTGTCCCCGTGCCCGTGCCTCACAAGAGGGGGACAAGAAATAAAAGAAAAAAAAAAGGATCGTCATCATCCTATTTCGAATCCTTCAGTTTGGTACCCGATGGTCCCGGGCAAGCAAGCAATCAATCAAGCAAGGGATGGGACGGCTTGGCTTCTTCCATGGCTCTCGCAGAGTTGCACTTAGCGACGGCTACGCGCACACGCGGCATCGTATATCTACATACATCTAAGTAGGAGAGGCGCCAAACATCTCGTATTCTACAGAATAACTACCTACCTAACCTAAACGTACGAAGTACCTTATGTTAGGAAGGGTTCTGAGGGCGTGAACGCTTGAGACAAGTGTGCTGATGTGGAATTCGGAGGAGTTTCGACGAGGAAAGCGTTCATCAGCCCATAAAACACATACATGAGCAGCAACAACTAAAGATGTGGGATCGTGAAGTTTGAATTTGCCTTAGGTAGGTAGATAGATATGAACTCAATGACTTGTCTTTCGACACATATCCGTTTCATTGCAGGGACGGACCCTGATGGGCAGGACCCTAATGATCCCGAAAAAACACGACAATGGGGCAAAGTCCTCACTCAGGGGTGGAAGCGGTCAAGTTTCCATAACCCTTTTTTGCAGAGCCCGCTCACCGCCTTGAACTTTGCTAGTTCGCTATCTACGGTCTATCATAGGATAGGTAAGAAGTCCGCAGATCGTATATCGTGCCCATTAGCATCCCTACCCTTTGAACAGCGCGTAAATTCAGCTCGTCGGGTGTGGTTCGTTACACTACATCCGGAAGACCCCAAATCTGGTATCACCGGGCTGGACATCGTTCCTACCCGATAGTGCGGCTCTCAACCCCAATCCAAGGTAGCGCCGCGTGTGTTGCGGCGGAATAACGCCATCGTCCTGTGTAGTAGAATCGTGTCAGTAGGTATAGATAGATACGTAAGCGATGACGATATAGGCAGTTTAGGATTGGCGCGTGACCCTTCACGGATCCCACGATGACTTACCCATAACCTCGCCGAGGAATACACAGCATCGCTCTCGCGCTCGATCCGGTCTCTTAGCTCCGGATCTGACTTCTGGCCCACCGCCTCCATGACGTTGGCAAGCTGCTCTCCGCCCATAACCCCGATACGTGCGTTGGGCCACATCCAGAGGAACCGCGGACTATACGCACGCCCGCACATGCCATAGTTTCCGGCGCCGTAGCTCCCTCCCACGACGACCGTAAACTTGGGGACATCGGCGCACGCGACCGCCGTCACCAGCTTAGCGCCGTGCTTAGCGATCCCGTCTCGTTCCGCCTGCGCGCCGACCATGAACCCGCTGATGTTCTGCAGGAAGACTAGCGGGATACCGCGCTGCGCACATAACTCGATGAAGTGGGCGCCCTTCTGCGCCGATGTCCCGAATAAGATTCCGTTGTTGGCCACGATGCCGACGCGGTGTCCGTAGATGCTCGCGAAGCCCGTAACTAGGGTAGTGCCGTAGTCGCGCTTGAACTCGGCAAAGTGCGAGCCGTCGACGATTCGTGCGATAACTTCGTGGATGGGTAACGGTTTCCGTAGGTTCGTCGACGCTATGCCGAGCAGTTCCGAAGCTGGATATAAGGGTTCGGAATAGCTTGTTTGAGTTGGGACGGCCTTGTGCGGCCAGTTTAGGTTGCTAATACATCTCCTAGCGAGCACAATGGCATGTGCGTCGTCTACGGCTAGGTAATCCGACACGCCGGATACGGAGGTGTGCATAGCGCCACCGCCAAGTTCTTCGGCTGATACTTCTTCGCCCGTGGCAGCCTTGACGAGAGGCGGTCCGGCTAGAAAGATGTGGCCTTGTCCCTCTACGATGATGTTCTCGTCGCTCATAGCAGGGACGTAGGCGCCACCTGCCGTACATAGACCCATGACCACAGAGACCTGGGGAATTCCTTGAGAGCTCATCCTCGCCTGGTTGTAGAAGATACGACCAAAATGCTCCCTATCTGGGAAGACATCTGACTGATGAGGCAGGTTTGCACCGCCAGAATCCACCAGATATATGCAGCTATTTCAGTGTTAATCTAAATAGACTAGACTTTACTAGATTATCTAGGTAGTTAAGCCATTAATAAAAGCTTTACTTACGGTAACTTATTTTCCTGAGCTACGGCCTGGGCTCTCAGATGCTTCTTCACAGTAATGGGGTAATAAGTACCGCCCTTTACCGTGCTGTCGTTCGCAACAATCACACAGGTTACGCCCTCTACGACACCAATCCCAGTAATAATACCTCCCGCCGGTACGTCTGCCTCTGGGTAGAGCTCGTAACCAGCCAGGGGCGACAATTCCATAAACGTCGTCCCGGGATCTATCAATGCCGTAACTCGATCCCGTGGCAACATCTTCTTCCTCGCTATGTGCTTATCCCTTGCTTTCGCGGGGCCGCCCTGCTGTGCCGAGCGCGTCAGCTGCTCTAGGCGGGCCATGGCTTCATTCATAAGCCGCTCATTCTCCTTGAACTCGTCCGAGGTTGAGTCTACGTTGCTCTGTATTACGGAAATCGCGTTCGCTTGGTACGGGGCCGTATAAGACGCGATTGCTCGAGCAGACAGACGGACATGAGGGGCTCGGCGGGGGTATCGTGTACAATGTCGGGTCAATTGGCGTGAGAAGCCTAGGAGATCCCTCGAACATCGTGGTATAGACATCTTGGCGATGGTGTACGTCCTGCTACATACTGCTGCGAAAGGGAGTTACGTAGAAAGGAAACTACATAGGTAATTTAGGTAACATGGAATGTTGAAAGATGGGGAGCTGACGTCGGGAAACGAGGGAAGCTTTGAGGCGGATACCGCTTATAGCCGCTATGCCGAGGTTTACCGTCATCCGTTTACATCTTGGGGGAAGGAATAAGCCGAGGGTTATCAGCAATACGTAGTATATTCTTTCCTTTCTAGATCTTAAAACTTACTTTCTACATATGTTGGGTATGTAAACAATTGTTTATTTATATATAAAATATGAAGGCATTTAGAGCTCTACGTCGCCCAGCGCGGCATTCACTAACACTAACACCAACCACCAAATCTCCCCTCCCATTGGCCCTATCGCCATCACAACTCCGGCGGTATGCATCCTCAAAGCACCCCCAAGGCTTCGTAGCACCCACTACCGCCGACCTAGCCGAGCTCCGCGAGCGGGTGCAGGAGTTCACGCGGCGCGAGATAACAGAAGAGGTCGCCGCGCGTACGGACAAGAGCAATGCCTTTCCGGCAGATATGTGGCCGAAGCTAGGCGAGGCCGGGTTTCTAGGGATGACGGCAGACGAGGACGTCGGCGGTCTAGCTCTAGGATACCAGGCGCACTGTATCGTTATGGAGGAGATCTCCCGCGCCAGCGGCAGCATTGGCCTCAGCTACGCCGCCCACTCCCAGCTCTGCGTCAACCAGCTGCAGCTCAACGGGTCCCCCGACCAGAAGTCGCGGTACCTGCCGGGCCTGATCGCGGGGGCGAAGATCGGCGCTTTGGCTATGTCGGAGTCGGGTGCGGGCAGCGATGTCGTTAGCATGCGAACTTCGGCGAAGAAAGTTGACGGGGGATTCCTGCTCAACGGGACCAAGATGTGGATCACGAACGGCCCGGACGCCGACATTGTGGTTGTGTATGCCAAGACCGAGCCCGACAAGGGGTCCAAGGGGATCACAGCCTTCATCGTGGAAACCAGCTCCGAGGGGTTCAGCTGTGCGCGGAAGCTCGACAAGATGGGTATGCGGGGGAGTAATACGGGAGAGCTAGTATTCGACAACGTATTTGTGCCGGAGGAAAACGTACTGGGCCGAATCAACGGGGGAGTGCGTGTTCTGATGGAGGGATTAGACCTCGAGCGCCTTGTGCTTAGCGCGGGACCTCTGGGCATCATGCAAGCAGCTCTTGACGTCGCGCTGCCATTCACACACCAACGGAAGCAGTTCGGCGCACCCATCGCGCACAATCAGTTTGTGCAGGGCAAACTAGCCGACATGTACACGAAGCTGCAGGCTTCGAAGGCATACACCTATGCCACCGCTAAGGCTGTTGACGAGGAGGGGGAGATCAGGACTCAGGACTGCGCGGGCGCCATCCTGTACGCGGCTGAGCGGGCCACCGAGTCTTCATTGGATTGCATACAATTACTCGGCGGTATGGGCTACGTGGAAGAGATGCCGGCGTCAAGATTATTAAGAGAGTAAGTTTCTCACATATCTAGGTTACGCCATTCCCGTTATTTTGCTAATCACTCTACTAGTGCCAAGTTATATGAGATAGGGGCGGGAACATCAGAGATACGCCGCATGGTTATCGGTAGGGCGTTCAATAAGGAATATGCTCATCTCGGAGCATAGCATAGGTAGTTAATATAGACGATGCAATTCAAGCACCTCTGGTATGTTGTGGACTCCTATTCTACCCGTTTCGCCCAGATTAGGAAATGTAAACGGTTACCCGCTGCCTCCCCATCGTCGGTATAAGGGTTTTCGCGTTCTAGAATGAACTCAACTGTGGAGAGGCCACGTGGGTGAAATACGCTTATCTCCATGGATTTCCTTGCCCTAGCTATTTCGCCATACATCTCCCAGCAATTTCCTCGATGCGTTGAAGGGTTAGACGGATCTAACAATCTCTGAAGTATTATACCGGCCAGTGAGCGAGATGACTGAGATAGGTAAAATAACCAAGACTCACTTGAGTCAACGCCAAAGTGTATGTATTCATTATTCCAGACGAGTAGAAGATTGAATGGCTGCCATCCATTTTCGGCTGCTACAGCGAAATTTACAAAGTAAGGGTATTCTAGTGATTGCTGAGACCCAAATCCAAATTTGATACAGCCGTAAATTGGAGACCACGTTATCTCTCCTGTTGTAGATACTGCATCTTTCGTGGCATATTCTAATGGTTCCTGTATTCCAGAAAAGCATACCCTCTTGATTTCGAATAGAGTGGGGGAATCGTATACTGATGCTATGGATAATGGTGCAATGCTTTTCACAATAGGAATGTTTTGTAGATGGACACCACCGGAACCGAAACGATTCTGTTCCCAGGAAGGGAGGGTTTTGTTGATATATATCTGAACCAAGGAATTCTGTCCATTGAATTTCCCTAAGCCGCATCGCCTAAGTGTTGGTGTTGCTAATCTGGCGTATTTATTAATTGACCAGGAATAAAAATGCCCAGTAATATTTGGTGTTCTGATTAACACTATCGACACCTGACCTACGCAACTATTAGACTCCCAATAAGCGGCATTGATCATGGCATTATAGACGGCAGTTTCATCGTTCGCAGAGTATAAATGAGAATGCACGCTATAGTTTCGCTCTATGAGGTGGAGGTAAATCTGAAGTCCTCGGTTGGTCATCGCGGATGGAGAACCTGCATCGTAAAGATTCCCAGTGATATTTCCGGAATCTGCGAAATCGTTAGGGGATTTCGCGAATACGCTTTCTAGCGACCATGCTCTGGGGCTAAATCTTGGAACGGTCCAGCACAAGAGCGAGTGATCATCCGTCTCCTTAAGGATCTCTTCCTGTAGCCTGACGAAAGCTTTAGGGCCTTCACCGTAGAGGAGCGGCATATTAATCTCGAAAATTCCTAGCAGAGAATACGCTATATCTTCAACGCGCGTGCTCAATCTATGAGCCGCCCAAGACATTTTTTGTGCGACACTATATTGTGATAGGGGGGACTTGGGTGTGGATATGAGAGACTCGGGAATCCCCGTGATATGCGTGAGGGCATCTCGGATCGAGTGTTTAGATCGCCTGCCTATCTCCGCCCACCCGCGACCGTAGAAGACGATATTCGACGGCGCAATTAGCTCCTGCAACGTCCAAGCTCTAGTAAACCATCTAGAGGCAAGTAGTTCACCGTCATCTTTGCTCCGACGAGACGTATATGGGAACTAAAGGTGTAAGTTTCAGCCGAGTTATTAGACTTCGTTGGTTCATACATTATCGTCCACATCTATAAGATAAGCATAGCACACAGCGGACTCTTCGTACCATTGGTACATTGAGTTAATACCTTAACGCGCGGGGAGGGTATTTCAAAATGCTTACAGGGATAATTTTCGTGGTGAAAATATTTAAGCAATAAAATTAAAAAAATAAAATAAATTTATTTTTTAAAAATAATAACTATTATTATATTATACGTAATATAATGTTTAAATAAAAAATTATATAATTATATAAATAATTTTTTTAATTTAATAATATTATATATATAAATATTTTAAATAATAAAATAATTTTATATTATATAATCATTATATAATTATTTTATAATAGAAGCTTATTTTAAGATGAAAAATTATTTTAAAATTATCTTTTAAAAAAAAAAGTTTATATAAGCAAAAAAGCCTTATATAAGTAAAATTCCAATGCTTTTTACATAATCATTTAATTAGCTCAATCAAATAAACTGGCCACCCATATGATACGAAGTAATTATACGTTAACCTATTAACCTTAATGTGAAACTTTAAGGTCATACGTTCGAATCCCTATAAAACAGCCACTCCTTTCGAAAAAAAAAAATTTTTTTTTCATTTTTTACCCTTTTCCTTGCTTACATAAACATTACCTCACCATGTTACACTTTTAAAAGCATTACCTCGGTATATTATACTTTTAAAATCATTTTCGATAAAAATCATTTTAATATAAAAACATATTATACATATAAAAATATATATAAAATAAATACATTTTTAACTTAAAAACATATTATATATATAAACCCATGTTTAATATTTAAAAATATATACAAAACAAATACATATTCACTTAAAAACGTTCTCCTTAGCATATTCGCGTAACATTATTTTAATAACTCGACATTATCACTGTAAGCATTTTGAAAGACCCCCCCCGGGCGGTAAGGTAGCTTCGCTGAGCTCAGCACTGCTTGTCTTATCGATGCAGCATGTGTCCACCCAAGCCCATTTACAACCGTGTTGCTTCGCCTGCTTGCAAGTGAGAACAATTTTCTCGTAGCCTCCTTGTTTGGAGGGGCCGCTCCCCGCCTGCAAATCCTGCAAGCTCACCTCCTCTTCGTCCCAGGTGTGAGAGAGAATAGCATATTGGTGCTTTGGGATATTGCTGCCCATAAATTCGTGCAGCTTGAGCGTATCAACGTCTAGCAAACGCATTGCGACGATGTACCTAGCGCAGTTGCAGGCTACACGGAGGTGAGCAAAATGGCGAGAGCCTTACCCATCATGTTGGTGGCCACTAAATCGAGGATTGTATGATTTGACCAATCACCTGCATTGCATTGCATGATACCCTACCAGCCACTCATATCTATCGCTAGAAGCCATCGTGTATATCGGAATGCCGGTCATGCAGGCAGCTTGAAGCATCGCTCATAGGACTACCTAACATAATTGTGTATCGCGGGGGTTTGTAGTAAAAGAAGAAAAGCGTGCACTAGGTAACGTAGAAGCTCAACTAAGACGTTCATGCAGGTCTTGTTCCATTGAGCTGTCAGACGTATTGTTGCCGTAGTTGCTGACGATGTCTCACCTTAGGTATTGTACTAAGGCAAGGTCCAACAACCCTGAATAAGCTTGACAGCCAATAAATAGACAAACTATTGGGGGGAAAACGTGAGCAATGTCTCAATAACTGCCCACTCTTAGACAACAGCTGAGAGTAGTACACTATTTAGAGGTAGAAGATGGAAGGATTAGAAACAGTGGCGCAACTTTGATTGCGGCTTTGTGTTAGAGTAAGAGGATTATCATGTGATTCTAAGGTACCAATGACACCATATATGCATAATATTTGTTTCAATATTCGATCTATCGAGGTATGCATATAAAAATAGATTCCACCTTAAATACATAATACATACGGATTACATACCTCTTAAATCCTAGTCCTAGTCCTAGAAACTACATCTTGCCCAAGGTAAAAGCTACACGTAGAAACTATTGAGAGTCATTTTGAGGTCTTTTTTTATTGCTCATCTCGTTTTCCTACGTAGATCATTGCCATCTGCATGTCGCTGCCGTGCACAGATTCCTTTGGGCTCGGAGTCTCCTGCCGATTCATAGGATGACCGTGCTACCTTTGGTCATCTAGGCCCGACATATGCAAGTTGGACTTCGGTTTGCTCAACGATCGGTAGATGTAAGGGATCCTAGATCATACGCTGGAAACGTGCCGGGGACGGATTGGCCATCTTCAGCCGCCCGACTTGAATGCGTTCGAGTCCATCTACATCGAACCGCCAGTAGGAATCTTTCCTACTTCAGCAGTACTTCGAGGTTAAGACACCCATGACGACGGGAAGGTTGCTTGAACGTTATAAGCTTATGTGCACCTTCTTTACCTGGTTACTACTTCGTAGCGACTAGGAATGCGCTCCGTTCGCGACACGGCCTTCTCATTACCGTGCGCCGTACCCATGACCGATATTATCGGTCGGTCGGGGGGTGTAAGATCGTTAAGGCAGCCAGGGCAATTAGGGCAACTAGACAAACGGGTATGATCGTCAGTTTGCCTAGCTAGCGTATTATTTGCATTGGCAGAGGAGTAAAAAAAAAACACAAATCAAAAGTTGGGACGATCCAAATCCAGGATCCCGTTCACCGGCTCTCACGATGCAGTGGCACGTCAGATGGAACCGCATTCTAGCCGCTTACTGACCGGTGTGGATATTCCCGGCGATGATCCACCCTCGACCTGAACAACCACGGCTCCACCATTGCGATACATCACAAGTTATCGCGAACAAGACAGCTGAAAAGCTCAAGCCATACGTTCTGTTAAGTTTCGTATTTTGCTTTTTTCCCGTCAAGTACCCCGGATTCGGGTCGGACTAAGCCCCGGTTATACAAGCGATTGGGTGCCTTGTCCATATGCACATTTCCTTAGTCTGGACTATCAGAATGTTATTTGGACTTCCTAATAACTAATAGTCGATAAGGTTGTCCAGAAGCGTCCGAACTTTCTGTATCTCCTTTTGGCTTCTGACGGTGTGAATCCCGGTTCGGGTTAGGCATCAAACCCTGGCATATATGTGGTGAAGTAGAGCCCAAGAGGTGTGTGTCAACCACTAGGGTTTGGGGTGCCCTTGTCAATACAACGAGACACAGTTCATCGTTTTCGCGGCAGTCCCAACGTTGCGGTTCTGCCAGAGGGGCGAGAAAATAGAGGATTTGTCATAGCAGAGGGCCATAATTGTGTTTCTTCTGGTAGCATATGCAGGGAAGTCTAACATCATAGAGGATGACCCATCGTGACGGGATCCTGACGATGCGATAAAGTGGATACTGGTGAAGGGACTGGCTAATATAAACGGGCGCTGAACCGCCATTGACTTGAATCACCCCTGCTAAAATGGAGTTGTGTTCCTCGCACAGCAGTGAACTAGAATTATGGGAATTGGGAATTCTTACATCTCCATGATACCGTTGATCTCGTCTTGGTAGCCGTGCAGTAGCAGCCCAATGGCCGACGTTTCGGCGACATTGTCATCCTCACCTTCGTACGACTCGGCAAATCCAAGGGGGACGACTGATCAACCTGCGGGTCATGCGGCGTCGAATAGGGGTCTGTGGTTCCTTATCTTCTGAGTCGGTCAAGAAGTCGATGCAGGCACGTCCCAGAAGCCGCGGCGGTCACGCGTTGCCTTCTTACTTCTGTACTCCGGAGTTCCAGGGATGAGGGAACGCCAGTCTAAAGATACACACACATGCTCGGGGTTCTGCCACCTAAGCTACTCTCCCTTATCCCTTACGTGAGGGTGGGTAATCGCAGCGGGCTCCCGCGGAGTGCGTCAAGCCTGACCGGCGATCGCAGATTCGACTCACCTGAAAGTCTTCCACGCGTTATGCAGGGAACTTATGCATGACGTTGATGGCATGAAGGATCCCACTCGGAAAAGATAGCCATTGAGGCTAGGTTTGTCGGGAACCCAGTTGGAGGCTTCAGTTTCCACGAATAAGCTCCTGGGCTTATCCCAACTCCTTGGTTATTTGACGCCTCGGGCACTCTCGATTGAACCGGAATATTCTGGCTTTCAGATCGAAATGCCCGCTGTGGTTGGTCCCACGGGGAACCAGAGATGACCTATCTCATTTCTCTGACCGATTTTGCAGATCATTATGATAGGAAGTGTAGGGGATACAACATCTAGTCTCCGAATGGAGCAAAGCTTGCGAACCCAAAGGCTCTGGCGGCAATGCTAATCTTGATCATGGATACGGTGCGCGAGCCGCATCGGACACTACCAATTGCCTTAAATTGGGCGGGATATGGCTGCGGGATATGGCTAGTATGATAAGAAGACTTCTTCTCCATGGCACATTAAATATCAGAACATCCCTATCCAGCTGTTATAGTCAGGCTCCTCAGGAAAATCCAGAAACTGTTTCAGATAACTACGCATCATACCACTTCCGCTGAATCTTTTCTAAAAGATAACGTTTTATACGTCCTCTCGGCTATAATGGCACAGGGAACCCACGAGAAACCAAACCGGCCAGTAGCCGTAAAGAATGTTGCTACACGGCTTGTGAAAACTGAACCCACAAAGACTTGTAAGTTATTCCGAAAGTTCATGGAACTCGCGAGGCGAGAACTCTGGACAAAGGAAGACCCGGGTCATAGTGTCGATTGGAAAGACGACCGGGTATGGGGGAAGATCCAAAAGGAGGGCCGTTTCTACCAGGCAGATGAAATGCTTGTCAGCTGTGGAACAGTCACAGTTGACCAGGCGGATTCGACACGGCCCATGGTATTGGTAGTCTATAACAAGAACATCGGCATATATCAATTACCTAAGGGGCGCAAGAATTTCGACGAGGGAAACCTCGAAGCAGCCCTGCGCGAGACATCCGAAGAGACCGGAGTTGCCGTTCAACCATTGCGGCTTAGATTTGGGTCCAGATCGACGCCACCGAGGCTGGCCCCGGTCGAGACCACCACCCGAGTAACCAAATATGGTCTCGAGGATAAGCTCACGGGTATTACAGAGGCCCTCTGCAGTGAGGCCGTTGGTGGTAGTGAATGGTGCGCAATATGACATCTCCGCGATTCCCTGATTTTTATACCTGCCGTACTGTGTTAGTATCGATTTTGCTAACTTACCATTGGCAGTACGTTGTCAAACAGCTCATACAATTCCTTGTATTTCCTAACCCCCCTCCCTCACTCTTCTCTCTTCCCTACCTACCACCGCGCGAACTTCCGTATTTTCGTGTCCTAAAGCAAAACATCAATATGTATTAGACCCCGATCCCGCTACCGGTGCCTGGAGGCATATCTACTGGTATGCGGCGAAGCCCCTGGGGGATACTAAACGCGACGAGAGTCGTATGACGGAAGAAGAGGATCGAAATAAGTTTTCGACTTTCTGGTTTCCCGAAACGGAGGCAATTGCTCGACTCAAGTTACAAGATGAACAGTACAGTAAGTAAACTTCCGTACAATCATTCTATCTGATTTCCTATCTCGGCGGCGACTACGCTACCCCTGTCCGAAATAAATAAAATGCCCATATTTGTTGGACCTGTTCTTTTTATCGAATCTGTATTTTTCAACCCCCTTGAACATTAAGCAAATAGCTGATATTTCATTTGATGCAGTGGTCCGACTTGTATTCGCAACCATCCGCAAAATGACTGCAAGCGACTGGGCGAGCAGCCACGAACAAGAAGGATGGCAAAAGAAATAAAGCAAAGGAGGGTGGCTTGAAACGAGACCGAAAGGATAAGGCTGGTCTTAAAATGGGTAAAGGAAAATTGATGGAGGCATTAGGAAGATTATTGCTTGCAGCTAGGTCACTAACGAATTTTCTAATGAAACCCGAATTTCCAACTATTTGAAAATAGGGGTACGGACCCCTTACTGACTTTATAATTCGTAGCGTTAGATATAGTTGCTAGATCATCTAGTATACTACATATGTATAGCGCTTCATGTTAAGGGATTACGTAGACAACGTATAGAGAGTAAAGACTATCGCAAAATTCCGTCCCCAAGGACGGGAAGATGAGGCTTGCCCGTTTGTTTGAATAGATCAAAAAAAGGGGCCTTCAGCCCTACGGCTTTGCAATCCCGCACTTTAACACGGTAAGATTCTAAATTAAACGCTAGAACGTTCTAGGAGCTGCCGATCCCCAAACGGAATGCAGCTAACCTATATCTGGCATGGGGGTGCCGTCCGTAGTCGGCGGCTTCCGATAAGTTTTATGATATATGACATCATGGTTAGTAGTACATAGAACTTACCCCACGTCTTCCATAGCATCATCATTGAAAAGCTACCCCTCACCCGTTACATACAACGGCCGATGCATTGAGATCATCAATAGCTAAAAATGAGAATATTTGGTGTTAGATTAGGTAGGTATTTTACGGTATAATACATTAGGTACATATATGCATGCAAATTATATAATTAATTCCGTATAATTACGTGCATTTCAAACTGTACAATTACATAGAAGCTCTGCGTACCTAGTAAAACCCCTCACATGTCGCTATCAAGGCATCTTCCCGGATCCCGAAGAGCTGTTGCCGTCGCATCATCAGGCTTTGCTTCTCCGCCATCATCAACTAGTTCTCAAACTCCTCCGCCATCCTCCCTTTCCAATTCCAACCCCAATTCCTCAACGCCGCCAACCTCTCTTCAGTCTAGAAGCTTCGCTGCACAGCAATCGACCCGAAATCAAGACATTCTCAAGCAATTGCCTCCTAAGCACCACACCTGCAAGATGTCGACCATGCCAGCTCAACACGGCCACTCCGAGGCCTGCTGCAACATCCCCCCCGTGGTGGCCAAGGACTACGCCGCGAAGGGCACATACGAGGAGCTCGGAGGCTACAAATCATGTAAGTCAGCTATACATATTCTCTGCCTCCAACCTACCTACCTACCTACATACACCTACTAACCGTAACCCCCCCAAACGCCTCAGACGTCACCGGCCCCAAGCAAGCCACCAAAGGCATAATCACCATCTTCGACATCTTCGGCTTCTACCCGCAGACCCTGCAAGGCGCCGACATCCTCGCGACCTCGGACCGCTCGCAGCAGTACCGGGTCTTCATCCCGGACTGGTTCCACGGCGAGCCCGCGCCCCTCGAGTGGTTCCCCCCCGACACCGAGGACAAGCAGAAGAACCTCGCCGCCTTCTTCCAGAAGAACTCCCCGCCTAGCGTCGCCGCCAAGGTCCCGGATTACGTCGCCGTCGTCAAGGCCAAGTACCCCGAGATTAAGAGCTGGGCCATTCTCGGGGTAAGAACTATCTATCCCCTTCTCCCTCCCTCCCTCCCTGCCTCTCTCCTTTTTTTTCCTTTCTTTCCCAAAATTTCTTAGATCGTGGTTAACTAACATCACCATCCATCCGCAGTTCTGCTGGGGAGGCAAAGTCGTATCTCTCGTACTTTCCCAGCCCGACACCGTCTTCAGGGCAGGCGTGGAGGCGCACCCGGCGATGGTCGACCCCGCCGACGCCGAGAAGATCAAGGTGCCTCTGGCGCTGCTAGCATCCAAAGACGAGCCCCCGGAGGACGTCAAGAAGTTCGAGCAGAACCTCAAGGTCCCCAAGCACGTCGAGATCTTCGGCGACCAGATCCACGGATGGATGGCCGCCCGCTCCGACCTGGAGAACGAGCGCGTCAGGGCCGAGTACATCCGAGGCTACGAGACTGTGCTGAAGTTCTTGTCTAAGTATGTGTAAAGCCTTGTTTAATCTCTCGATAAGCCTCGAGGATTAAAGGCTAGGTGTCGACGTTAGGCTTCGCTTGACGAGATAGCTTCTAATAAAAGTAAAAAATGAATGAAATAATGAAATAATTGACCTTTACTTAACGATTATGAAAGCACCGCCCCGCCCCCTTTTTATCCTATGGGCAAATTCAATCTCGGTCACTTAAAATAGTAGGCTAACTAATGAAAGTTGTGCCATGGGTACAATATGTCAATTAGTATCGTGTCAACAGACAGGTATCTAGCCATTTTAAATCATAATCAAGTCGTAACGCCATCATGCATTATTTTAAAGTATCAGTGCCTAAGCAAACGCCAGAAAATGCGATAAGCGTAGAAATATCATACCTCGCAACACCCCGAAAGAACAGGGAATATGTTCTCCAGTCCTCTATGTGTCACCTAGCTGTGTTGAAGTAGAAGCCTTTTCCCGACCCTAAATCCCATTTTGAATTCCTTCGCCGGTCCCTGCCTTGACCACTTCCGGCTGCTTGTCTGATTCTTTTGCGTAGACATTCTCCGCGGGCAGTTCCTTTTCACTCCCACCTGCGGCGACGGATGCCACATCCATCTTTCCGCCCGTATCTTCTTTCGCTCTCACATTTTCCTTTAAGTCTTTATCCACCTTGCCCTCACTCTCGCCTTTACGTCCACCAGCCGCCTCAGCAGCGTTTTCAAGTCCAGGTTTGGGTAACTTCTCAATAGCAGGGGTAGCAGGCGCCTCCTCGTCGCCAATCTTCTCAAACTTAACGACTGCCCACTCTATTTTAAGTGATGCATTCCACGCCGAGACGTCACGAGACTTGCTGGGGATAACGTTGCCATAGCGGTCGCGACGCTCCCACTTTTGCTCCTGCATGCGTACGAGCTCTGCCGAGTGCGGCGCTAGCACGTTGACGCGCGCAATACGGTACCAACCTGAGAAAACGAATCGCGCGCCGCGGCCGTAGTCGTAGGAGCGACGCTCTTCAAACACGGCAACAGGCGCGTGCACAGACGGGACGTAATCGATAGGTGGGATGGTGGGAAAGCCAGGTACCTGTCGCTGGTGAAGCTTTAGGCGGCGTTGTTGCTTCTGCTCCTCCACTATACGCTCTTGTTCCTCAGGCGGTAGGTTACGAACGTCGCTGAACTTCATGCGGCTGCTCGAACTAGACGATGTTTCCGTAACAGGTACCTCATCTGTCTGGCTTGCATCCGAGGACGTAGTAGCCCTTGTTGTCTCCTCGTCGGTGACGGATAATGATTCAATAGCAGCCGTAACGTGGCCAGCTTCGTTGTCCTGAGTAGTAGACTGAGATGCCTCTTCCGTAGGAATCTTATCCGTAGTTGCGTGGATATCTTGGGACTCCTCAGGCTGCTTGGGGATTGGCCACTCCCCGTACTCCGCCTTCTTTGAGCTGTACTCGGGTAACAAAGTAAGCTTAGATTTAGCAAATACGATACGGTCACCAGGCCAGCGGGGGTTAGCGTTGGTGAAGAGCAGCATGTAAGACAACTGGTCTGGATGCTCCTTAGAGTTGTGGAAGGTGCTTGAGTTATAGTTTGGAAGGGCTTCAAGTCCCTCCTCACCACCGAAATACTTCGCAATTGCGCGTTGATCGTAGAAGTCGGCATCGTCGAATTGGCCTTGGTGCTGTTGGTTGTGACCTGGGGAAAACGGGTTGCTATAGGTACCTCTTCCGCGACCACGGCCACGGCCGCGTCCCCCACGATCTCGTCCTCCGCGGAATCCTCGACCACTCATATCACCTCTACTGCCTTCGTTATTGTAAGGTTGATGCGACGATGAGTGGTTGGGAGGGAGGGTAGATGACTCCGACGTATCAGGTGTAACGCCGGTTGCCTGTGAATCTCCACGGCGAAAGGGAGGAATATAGCTTCCGTGCGTAGACATGGCTTATGACGTACGCGAAGGTTAAGAGGGTTAGCAAGGCAGAGAGTAGGTAGTGTATGGGGTGAAAAATGGGAACTACGGGGCCAGCCTGTGGAGAATGAGGTCGGTTGAGAATATTATGTATATTAAGTTTACCCCAAGTAAATAGTGGCAGCTGCGGTGGCTGTGATTGTTTTTCTTCAGATTCTGCAGTAGCGGTACGGCGGGGTTGATTGTTGTTCTTTGCCGTAGAAGCTGCAAACTGCAAACGTCGTTGTCGCACAGCTATCAACTTAAAGATATCGGAGTATCCAAGTACCTGTTTTAGGCAGCATTTATTTAGGCACCTAAGGTATCTATCATTATCTTTAATTTCTTTAACATACTACCATCTTAATCAATTGCACGCACGAACTTGAGCGCATCTTGGTATTCATGACCCCTTATCGCGAAGACGCATTTACTTATCCTACATATGCAGATTATTAACACGATCTAAACGCCATGTTGTTTATAATTTCTCCGCCTAAATTACATAGACACCTACCAAAGGTATCGTCTCTTCGTTTTAAGAGATAAGCTTCTGTGATGGTATCACAAGATAAACCCACAACACAAAATTGGTTCTTAGGGAAGTTTTACATAAGCTATGGAAGCCCGTGGCTAATACGGGAAGTATCCTTCCTTATATATGTATGTCTCGTTAATAATCCTGACGGACAGAATATATCTTACCAAGAAATTTTTAAAGTGGAATTTCATACTAGGTATTACACGATTTGACAAGGCCTAAGTTTTTAATAGGTACAAGTAGTCACTTAGAAAACCAACAAGTCAAATAAGCGAGCTTTTACGACTTTTTCCATTATATAAAACAATTGAGATTAGGTGAACACATTGGTATGTCGTCGAATTCAACTACAACCTCGCAAAGGGACTGAAAGGACAGTATTGATTGATACCTACTTTGAAAATAGCTACGTAATAAAACCAAGAGCTTCGGTACAAATATAACTGCATTCATATAGCCAATTATATATTAGTATCATCTATCACGTTACACCCGTGCAGCTTATAGTTGTTTTATGCTCATCGACGTAGTTACTTAAACATGTTATCTCTAATAAGTAACAATCCCGTGCCAATCTTGCGCGACCAAAAGAAATATCGTACGCGCTGGTACCGAATTAAAGTCCTAAGATCGTCCTGCAAGTCACTCTTTTAAGACCCATGAATCGAGATTCAAGATTGTCTTTCAGCCCCGGATCGGGCATTTCTTCTTCTTATACTAGGCCCTTATATCATTTGGGGCATTTACTTAACTGTTACGCAGTTTTCATTTCAATGCGTTTGATGCCCATGATAGCTTGGGTAATGTAACGGCAAGTTCACTTCTAATGAAATTGTCTAATTCGACATAGCCTGGAAATCCAAATGGTTTTTGAAGTTCGCACCCGTGGTTTGAGCTTAATATCCTGTGTAATCTACGTAAAGATATGTGTAAGCTATTTGACTACCGGCTATTCACGACTTACGAGGATGGTAAGGTTTCACAAGATAAAGGAGGTTGATGTGATGGTTTGGAACTGCACCACATGTTGCAGCCACATAAAAATATGACAGAATCGAGAAACCAATGAACATGGAGGTACTCTTAGCCAATCTGATTACTGATTAAGGGTTTAATCTATATGAATATTGTGGCTTTTATACCAAAATAGGCAGCCTTCGATATTACTAGAGGCACTACCGAGTCCACAACAGTCCGGATAGAACACTCCGGAAGGGGTTTCATTAGGTAAGATCAATCACCCCACAACGGCCACACCCCACAACAGCCATAAATTTCCCATATAAAATCGTCAAAATCGCATATTCATAACTAATTAACTAAAATAGATAAAAACAATCGGCCAGCTATTTTAAAATGGCGGTTTAATTCTATAATCAAACATAAAATTGAAAAAAATCAACGTGCTATATAAAATGAAATATTAAAGGTTAAAAAAGATATAACATTTTTATATATAAATTATTATTAAATCTATTAAAGATGATTATATTATAAATAAAATACTTATAAAATAAATAAAAATGGTTTTATATAGTAAAAATTATAAAAATTTTAAATTTTCAACTTTTATCACGTAATTCATTTTCCCCATTTAATTATTAATTTTTAAAATTCTTTAAATTTTAATTATTAAATATTAATAAAAAAGCATTTTTTAAAAAAATAAAAAAAAATATTTTTATAATTAAAATATTTTTTCAAATCAATTAATAGTTTTAATTTTTTAAAAATAACAATTTTTAAAAAAAAAAATTTTTTTATTTTTATATAAAATATTAAAATATTTTAAAACATTTTATATTTAATTTAATAAAATTAAAAAAATTTTTCTAATTTTATATTTAATTATAAATTTAAATTACTATTTTAAAACATTTAACCGATTATTTATATCTATTTTATTCAATTAATTATAAATATGCAATTTTAACGATTTTATATGGGAAATCTATAGCCGTTGTAAGGTGTGGCCGTTGTGGGGTAATTGATCTTAACAATCGTACTCTACTACTAAGTGTCTTCGGAATATATTCACTAACATAACATAATGGGAAGTTTCAAACGAATCCAGTGCTAGATGCGTATACTACCTACTCGACATGGCAAGCTTTACGAGTCTAGATTATCCGCGGAGTTCCAACTTTACATAGTTTAAGACATTTATGATAAGACGTATGTTATGCATATAATAGTTACTTGCCTATGACGTGAAAATGCGTATCAAGTACCATTCTTGTGGTAATACAACCCTCTATCTCTAGAAATATGGAGCTAGGGTAGTGGTCGCGGCCTTGTATTAGATTGGCTTGTAGCTAAGGTGGCGTTTTTCTCCATGAATAGGATGAGTTTCTAGTTCGAATATTGAAACCTTTAGAATTTGCTTTTTCTTTCAGTTTGGATAGAAAGTCTTAAAAGTACCTAATCTAAGTCAACATCCGACACCTCATATTGTCATACACACGAGAAGAATATGACAGATAGGGGAGCAGTCTGCGGGATCCATTCTACCGTTGTATTGGCAGATGTGAATATATATATCTATCTTTCCTATATTACTACAATGATGAGGTTTTCGTATCTACTCTTATCATTACAAGTAAATCTCAAAATACCACCCTAACTATTTGCAAGGCGAAACGGCTATTTGTTCCATTTAACTTATCATGTTTGGCCTCTCTCTAAATAGCTCAAGCTTATCAGAGTGGTTGCTGGTGTTCTTTTTGTCGGGGCCCCTTTTGGTTCGTCTTATTGATTTTGTTACGAAATCCATCAACTACGGCAATATTACAGTACTAACTGAAATATTGGGCTCTAGTTCCTCATAAAAGCCTGCTATAACCTGTTCTTCCACCCTCTAGCCCATGTCCCTGGTCCATTCTGGAGTCGAATAAGCGGGTTTCCTTCGTGGTATCATGCTTGCCGCGGCGACCGCCATGTTTGGCTATGGCAGCTGTTCCAAATCTACGGCGATAGGATTCGTTCTGAGCCTGGCGTGGTATTGTTTTGCGATCCTCAGTCATACGCCGACATCTATAATATGAAGTCAAATGTGCAGCGGGCCCCTTTCTACAAAACGTTCCAAAGGAACAGGCACGAGTCCATGGTTGTGACTACAATTGACGTCGCTGAACATGCGCGGAGGCGTAAACGCCTCAACCCCATTCTTCTTAGTGAGAAGTCCATACGCGCGGCTTCGAAGTTCATCATTAAGCACGTTGAACGCTGGGTCCAACTCATGACAGAAGACAACGAGATAGCTACCGAGTGGTCTTCTCCCGTGAACTTTTCGAAGAGAACTGACTCTCTTACTTTTGACATTATGGGCGATCTTAGCCTCGGGGTGTCTTTTGACATTAAAGAGCCCGAGGATAATCTTATGAAATTAACACCATTCTATATGTTTCAATGGTTTCGATTCACCTACATGGTATGCATTTCTACCTCATACCTCACTCCCTGTAGTTTCGATGGGGGGTAGTGCTAATAATATGAAAAGATGGGCCGTGCCCCCTTTTTTAAATTCCTCAATTCGATGAGGCCTTACGGATTCGACTATCTCCTCGAAATCGTAACCCCACCAGGTGTTCAAAAGTTTACTCAATTTATCAACAATAGCGTCACTAATCGTATTGCTCTACAAAAAGAGCAAGCGGAAAAGCCTGAAGCTCAGCAGCGTCAAGATACGTTCCACTTCTTATACGAAGCGAAAGATCCCGAGACGGGCGGTCCCGCTTATGACGATGCCACTCTACGAGGAGAAACTACTCAGCTTTTGGTCGCGGGATCTGATACGACCGCTACCGCTATTTGTGGTATAATTTTCTGTCTCACTGGCGATCCCCGACGACAGCAGAAGCTCGTGGACGAGATACTATCAACATTCGAATCAGCAGAGGATATCGTCTATGGACCGAAGCTTCTGGGATGCACTTATCTAAGGGCTTGTATCGACGAGGGGATGCGCCTTAATCCCTCACTACCAAGTGACCTTCCCCGAGAGGTACTGAATGGTGGCCTAACGATTAAAGGAGAGTACTATCCCGAAGGCACTATCGTGGGAAATGTTCCTTGGGCCCTCACGCGTAACCAGGAAATTTACGGAGACCCTGAGGTATTCCGGCCCGAGCGTTGGATCTTAGACGAATCGGCCGGGGTGACTCAAGAGACCATCGCGCAGGCAAAATCCTGTTTCCACCCCTTCATCTCCGGTCTGGGCAATTGTGTCGGGCAGAATCTAGCCATGGCGAGTATCTATATCACGATCGCTCGGCTACTATACCAACTAGATGTAAGACGAGTTCCCGGATCCACCGTTGGAGGCGGTAGTCCTGCGATGGGGTGGGGAGCAAGGAATAAAAACCAGCTACAGTTGAAGGATATATTTGGTTCAGCCAGGGAAGGCCCAGAAGTACAGTTTAGGAAGAGGGCATTCGTATCCTGAGTAGGTACCTCAAGTAAAGGTATCAGTGTGAGATCGGGTAGCATGAAGGAAAAGGAGATGGTAATCGGCGCCGAATCGTTCCTTTCATTAGTACGCAAGTAACACATCTTTCCACTGCTTTCCTTCTAGCGGCTTCGAGCGTAGAGGATATCGAAGGATGGATATGGTTCGCTCTTTTACCTATGGATCAGCGATGATTAGCTGCAAGGGAAGGTAATTTTGTGATGAATTTCATTCATGCTCAACATAATATGCAAGCTAGCTTCTACAGAACGTTAGATAAACGACGCTCCCTATTAACTACCATCTCAACTTCCTCACTCATCCCTTACGTTTAAAATACAGCCACCATGCTTACTTACGGTGATCTATAAGTAGATCCCGCTTTAGATTAATAAACACGGCTCACTTCTTCAGCACCATAAGAACGCCCCATGAATTATATACCTCTTATCAGACATATTCATCATTCTTGGCAACAGTACGTAGATCGTGGTAAATGACGTTAAGCAGGCTTCGAGTAATGTCTCACGGGATCGGAGGTATTAGAAGATCAGTAGAACGGCGACTAATTTAACATCCTAACATCCTGGTAAGCTGCAGCATTTTCAACAGTACCCTTACTCCTGTAATAACACTCAGGTAGGTATATTTCCTCGTGCTAATATCATATGTTATAAGGCTAAACCTCCCAACGTTTCCAAGTGAAGCCGGAACATGGTATTAGGCTGTGAGGCTTAAACTATAAGTGTAGTATACTACTAACGTGGCGTACCAATGGCTAGCCACATACGGCCTTAGAATTAAGTGTTAGATCTAAAATACGCCTCGAAGCGTGGGAGGTGTTGTTTCTTTTAAGACTGATAGAAATAAGTACTTGTAAAATGACACTTTCTTAAAACCAACATACAGCTTTAAGCAAACCCTGATTTCATCATCAACGCTTGATTTCAAGTATATATCAATCTCACGCTATAATTAAATGCCTATAATAAACACATAAGAAAGGCCGGATGGTTAAGTACCTGTTACCTATTCAAAAATGTTAGCCGTGAAGAATAAGAGGGACTAACTACCTTTTATGCACATTATGTATGTACCTCTTTCTTATTTAAATTATAACGCTAAAAGTTTCTTTTAAACCCTTATCAGTTAAACCACGAGTATTTAAACTCGACCGTCTGTTTTATGAATAAATTAGATTTATACCACTGGCTTTAATGTTACATATCAAATCAGGCTCTTTAACAGTTTTTGGTACACCTGCGCTGAAGCTTAAATAGTGGGCACAAATAGCGGGGCGCTATTGAGCTAAGGTTAGGTACTTTTCTATATGCAATTATCTGGTCGACCTTGAACATTCTCATTCCCATTCCCATTTCCATTCTCATCCACCAGGCTTCTTCCAATTCTTATCACGCATAATTCATCTCCAAACAAATCAAATTAATCCAACCCAACCCAACCCAACGCGTACGCGCATTCATTCCGAATCAAACTGGTTGCCACCATGGGGTCGAAGCGCACTGCTGAAAATGACAGCGAGCAGCTGCCTAGAAAACTTCGTCGTCAACGGTTTTCCGGCTCCGTACGATCAATTCTTCCGGATTTAACATACGGCCAGCGATCAGTGTTTGGTGACTCCGAGTGCCCGACAACTGTACCGCCTGAGGATAGCGACTTGGACTGCGAAGATGATGCTGAGGCGCTCGCGTACCTGAAGTCTGTGCGGTAAGATTCTCTACTACAACTTCCATCTCCAGACTCTCAAAGCTAAACCGGTATCATGGCTTCCTTTAGGTGATTAATACTGACATGGTGAGTATAGAGTGCAAGCATCCGCAATCCCACATGTTATGGTCGCTAGTAAAGCTGGTCCGCAACTACCCAAGGCTCTACAACAATCCACAGACGATCTAGAAGACCGGCAAGACGACGATAATGAACCCATCGACCGCAGCATATATAAAGACGGCCGAGGAGACTTTAGAGGATTCTATCATGATGGAGCCTATATCGCGTACCCCCCGGGCTATTTTGACAAAGATGAGGATGAGGAAGAGGATGAGGACGAAGATGAAAATGAGGATGAATATTATGACGAGGATTACAACGGTGAGGAGGGGGGAGAGCAAGAGGACCCAGAGTTGGGATATGACGATGCGAGCGATTATGAATCAAGCGAAGGCGGCCCGCGCAACAGCAATTCTGACGAGATCTACGAGGCGTACTTTCTATCTCTCACGAAACGGTTCCTAGCTCTGCGCCAGGTTTTACTAGTAGACCCGCCGGATCATTTGTTATATTATAATCTCCCTAGGTCGAACCCAACCGAAGTGGGCGAGTTCGGCCCTAAATCCGATACGTTTGCGAAGTGGTCTGGCCGGCTCCGGGGTACGGACCCATTACCTGCCCAGATCGCCGGAATGCATAAAGACGGCGTTATCCGCCTGATACGCATTATCCTCGGTGGCAAGTTCCTACGTAAAAACCAGGAGCTCCGTGAACGCACGAGCAGGTGGATATGGGCGCTGCTCGCACGTCTTCCCGAGAGAGGTGAACTCGACTACCAAGAGATCGGTTGGATACGCGAGCTGGGTAAGAGAGCAGTCCTGCTCATGGTTAGCTTGGCTGAGATGGAAGTCCTGAAGGAACACTACGATGTTGGTGATAGTAATGCCGGAAGCCAAGGCGAAGTCGAAGTCGACGAAGGCATTGACGGGACAAGCCAAGTTGAATGCTGTGACTACGAGGATATCGACATTGATGTCAATGATCCCGAGCCTCACTATCGTGGCCCCGGCCAACCCCCGGGCGGTAGGGTGCCCAAGCTTGCCCCTTTCAACGGTACAATCAAAATTGAATCCGATACGGACACTAATACCCCCAATGGAAAAGAACCTGTCGGAACCGAAGTACCATCTGAAGAAATAAAACCGGAGCTATCAGACGTCGAAATGGAGATAGATTCACAGGATGAGGAAGAGGAGGACGGGGAAGTATCCGACGCACCCCAGCAGCAAACAGAACCCACGGCTGACATAGAGAGGGCCAAGGCCCGCTTGCTCGAGCAGCTCAACAGCACCGCGGCCGACGAAAACGGTGATAGCCCAGCGGAAGAGTTGCCTGCTACGGCGCTAGAAGAAGAGGCCTTTCTCGCCCTCGCGGCAGAAGAAGAGGAAGCGAAGACAGAGCAGCTCCGCAGAGCCAAGGTCAACGAGCGCGCTACCCTGAATATGATCCTTACTGTAGCCGGTGAGTTCTACGGACAGCGCGACCTCCTGGAGTTCCGGGATCCGTTTGGAGGGATCCAGGTCGAGTAGGTGAAAGCGTATGCGGTGTCTTGCACGTAGATATATGATCAGACTGCTGCTCTATTCGCTCAAATGTTTTGTAGTTGAATATATAATTACTTCCCAGATAATTAATAAATACAAGCTTAGGTACCTAGTGTAATTAGTAATTCTTAAGACGCTACGCAGACCAATTACGAGTATAGACAGACTATGTCGATGTTGTAACAATTCTTCATGCGATGCTACAAGCTACCTTATTCTCTCCTATGGAGATAAGCCGATACGCCTCCAGCTATTACGCACTGGTTCCCCGGTGTGTACTGTACTTTCTCCCCTTTCCTCTAGGTATCGATCGTCCTCAATATGATACATAATTGTACGCAACGTGACGCAGCATAACACAACTCGCGTACAACACGAGCAAATTCCTCAATGCCAGGTAGTCCATTAACCCATGCAATCTTCGCTAAAAACGCCGGCCCGCCAATGACAATCCGAAATAATACAAACAGCTTCGACTTAGCTGTCTTTGCCTCCGCATTTCCTGTTTCCCTCCTCGTGCCTTGCTCCTCTTCTGGGTATCTTATCGTTATCCAATACACGGTAAAGACAATTCGTATAGTTCACGCTTAAACATCGCTCATCTCGACCTCCCAACCTCGTGAATCATCTCTGTATTCCAGGTCGGATGTTCTGACCAGGAAATCGGCCTCTTCGAAGTCGGTGCCGTCGGCACTTCCTACCACCCTGACGTTATCTTGGCCTAGGGCGTGTGCTGATAGCTTGGTTTGCCGAAACTTGGCCTTCCGCGGCGTCGCCATGACCCGGCCGTTATTTGCACCCCAGCCGATGGGCGCCACGCTCCGCGGGCTGACCTCGCCGTCAAACCTGTCGCTCCAGACACCCGGGTTGAAGTCCAGGTTGAGACGACCTGGGGTTTGGGGCGCCTCATCTTCGTCCTCGGTATAAGAACGCTTGCGAGTCCGCGTAGTAGAGATGCCTGGGCCAGCACTCTCGACGGAGTCCTGGCTGCTCGTCAGGCCGGGAACATCCTCGTCCATCATCTCATCGAGAGGCACACCGTTGAGACTGAGTAATGGCTGGTAGGCTGCGGCAGTGGAGAATGATTGAGTGTTCTCCGGTTGTGTTCCAAGACCGCCGACCTTATTGATCCCGCAGAAGGGAAGGAGTTCCCGCGGCGTCGAAATAGCATTAGCGCGTGATCGTCCCTCGCCCATCGTCGCCGTAGAGACGTTGTTGTTCTCGTCCCAGAGCGCAAAAGCACTATACTTTTCTGTCTTGTAGCCTTCGGGGACGGACTTGCGCACTCGCATGCCCACGGAGAGGAGGTTTGCTTGAACCGACGCAGGAAGAGAGGGACTAGCAGGATCAGAGGTATTGTGCGCCCGCGCGTTGGTATGGCTAGCGAAGGAAGTATCGGGATATTGCGAGACGGATGCCGACGAACCGGAGGCGAAGAACGAGGTAATCTGTCGCTGGGCGGGATCACTTGCTGCGCCTGCAAATTGGCGTTTTGTTCGCGGGGCCGACATGGCTGCGAGGGATAGGTGGATAGATATTACGTGTCGTATGCAAACAAGGCCCACTTGGACCAAATATAGGACGCCTCAGATTTAATAATCAGGAGTTTCCGGAGATCTAGTTCTCTCAGTTCAAACAATCGTGATGACGCAATGTGAGCTTTCCAAGCCCCCAATAGCTGCAACCAAAAAAGGGTGGGGAATTGAGTATTGAGAAGTGAAGATGTCAAATCTGAGGTTTATGGTAGTGCAATTAATGAGGTATGTTTTCTTTTTGTCCGATACTGATGGCTGATGGTTTCGTTTCGTGTGTTATGAAGATTGAATTATGAAGAAGATAAAAAGGAAAATTACAAAAGAGGTTGGATAATCTGGGGTTGGTCGGACGATATGTACATCTAAAGTTGGAAGTGGGGAGGCTGCACGATGCGCGTAATTGGCACTTTCCGAAGCGTGTTTTAACGCGTTGAATGGGAAACCTTGCCATTAAGCTTACATTCAAGTACCTAAGTACCTCTTACGTGCAAAGAACAAGGTTGTCAACTGAATGTTCATAAACGGTTAGTTCCATTGAGATTACTAATTTGAGGCGTCAGTATTCAATTCTTCCTACTCTAAAATGATACATTAGGTAGTACAGTCTCGGTATTCGATCATACCTGTTTACTAAATAGATAAGGAATCCCTTAACAGGTACGTAATCTATGTAAATGCCCAATGACCCCTATATAAAAACTGTAGGTTAGGTAGTTACTCCTCTAATAGCGAGGTCTTCTATAGGACAAAACATCTAAGATAAGGGAAAAGGATACGACTTCGTTTCAAATGTTATCCGCTCGTGTAGTTAAGATCTACATTCCAAAATTCCAGTTATAGAAAACTTAGAGAAGCAATGGGACGTTGGTCATCACGATGGGCAAAAAGTGAAAAAAGATAGTGGAACCATGTGAATTCGCCTAATGCAGTGACAACAACAATCACTACGACTGGGTATGTAGCGATCCTCAATCAACGTTCCACGTCCTCACATCTAGAGACCTACACTGGCAGAAATAGGCCTCGGAAGATGCTCATGTGGAAAGCCATTTCCAGCTATCCACCCACGCAGAATAAACCATCCTGCTTATGTCTGAAGGTGACGACTTCGTAATACACAAGGCGAGAAAACGAGGAAAAATCATTCGTAGCGAAACGGATGATGCAAGATATCAGGACCCCAAACGCCCCTTTTGTATTAAGGTTCTTGGTATCCGTCGTCTATCTGCAAAGACGTAGAGGTTCGTAAAAGTCGAGTATATCCGGAAGACAATATGCCATGTTTTTTTTCATGCGCCCATTCCGTCCAGTACCTTGCAGATATCCGAACTATACCCATGAAGTCGTAACCCATGCCCAAGAACGAAGAAAATGCGAGACGAAACCCTCTACTTTCTTCGGAAAGAGCAGCCCTCAGTCAATCGAGCCTTACCACCAGTAGGTTGGCAAAGGACAGTGGTGCAGCCTTGGCAGATAACGACGGTCTGGGCGTGGGAGAACACGGTGGTGATTGTGAAGCAACCGGGGCACTTGACGTCCATGAAGAAGGATCGGGGGGCGGGGACCAAGGTCTATTCAATGACGTTAGTATCGCCTAATATTGAAAATTATATTGGTATCGTACCTTGAGCTTGTGCTTCTTGGCCTCAGAAGCCGGGCTAGGGTTGAGGAGATCAACGGCGAGAACCTTGAAAATTTTTTGTCAGTATAAGAGTACCATTTGTGAGTGCGAATCCAAGCATCCACCCGCCCATCAAAGTTGTATTTGGACCGTCTCGAGTATCCGATCAATGGTAACATCCATTCAAACTATGTGTTTAGACGTAAGGGAAGACATTTGCCGATATTGGTGTTGATATTGTCGTGGAAGCGTCGATGATTGATAAATCGAAAATCGCGGAGATCGGTCGACAACATGATAGAGAGCGTAAACAAAAACAAGGTTCATTTAGACTTACCATCTTGTCTGATTGTAACAAGAAATATGTTGATTGTTGGGTTGGCAAGCGAAATATCGGCTGGCGAAATCTGAAGATGGAGTTGATGGCAGATTTTGGCTGTGCTTGCGAACAACGATGGTTGAGGTAGTTAAGAGATTGAGTTGAGGGGAAGGTCGTGCGTGTGTGTCCTAGAATAAAAGTTCGCTTGGTAAATTTTGGGGAAGCTGGATTTTGATTCGGCGGATTGGCTCTGGTGGGCAGGAGGCGAAACTAACTAAGACTTTTCTAGTTTAGCTAAATCAGGCTTAGCGCTGAGGAGGGCTAGGGCTTTAAAAGACCCACCTTTCTTACTGGAGCCCGGCGAGCTAGAAATACATAGTACTGATCCGAAAACCGAGACTACCCGGAGTCCGCCACCTGGCAGAGCTTTCTGCCAGCTGCCAGTTGAAGCTGGGCTATTTCATCATCCAGTACCTAGGTCTCCACTTGGAGGGGTTCAATATTGCTCAAATCGTGTTGGCTACCTACGTAACGCAACATCAGGCATCCTGTAGCTATATTCAACACTATCCTCAGATTATCTACGACTATATCAAATTCAATCAAGATGGCCGCTCCAACAGAGCAGCGAATAGCTGTTCCTATTGACGACCCAAATGCGGATACTGAATGGTATGTCCTATTCGGAACAATCCCTCCCCCAACCTAAGTTCTCATCTCATAAAATACGATAGGAATGATATACTCCGTAAACACGGCGTCATACCCGAAAAGCCTCCCTCTCCTACACCTATGATAGAAGAAGCTTTACTCGAGGCCCACCGAATAGCACACGAGAATAGGCTAGAGGGGAAAGAGCTCGATGAGCTTGACGCACTGGAAGATGAAGAAGACGATGCTTTCCTAGAACAGTACCGACAGAAACGAATGCAAGAGTTGAATAGTTTGACTAAGAAGTCAATACACGGCACAGTCTACCCGCTGTCGAAACCAGAGTATTCGCGCGAGGTAACAGAAGCCTCACATAAGGGCCCCGTTTTTGTCAACCTCACATCCTCACTCGGGACCAACGTCGAATCGAGAGTTTTATCAGAGCTTTGGAGGCAAGCAGCGAAAGAATATGGTGATATTAAGTTCTGCGAGATCCGAGCGGACAAGGCAATCGAAAATTACCCAGATCGCAACTGCCCAACCATTCTTGTGTATAAGAATGGCGATATTGTGAAGCAAATAGTCACTCTTGTTACTATGGGTGGTGTGCGAATAAGCATGTTGGACATCGACAACTTGCTAGTTGAGGTGGGCGCGGTTGGTGAGAAAGACATGAGAGTAGTAAAAAGGAAGAGAGATGCAGAGGATGCGAAGGAAGAACAACTATTGGGTAAAGGGATCAAGAGTGGAAATCTGAAACATGCAGCCGCTAACGACGACGATGATGACGATTGGGATTGAAAATATACCTCGTATGTGCGGTCACATCGCTCTCACATTGCCCATGTCGACCGGGTTAATTCGTATCCGACCTCGAAGGCATATAATACACACAACTTACGATGAAAATGATTTGCAAGAGAGGTAGTCCCTATTATCGACTCCGGGGATGGTGGCCAATATGATGTAAACCTTTTTTAAACCCTTGATACTAAATGGAGGATGGATGGGCTAGTGGAGTACAGATTAGCGATTCTAACGATCTCATCCATCGAGCTATTTCTGGATAGACCCAGCCGAAACATGCATAACAGATGGATGTTAAGTTGGTTTCGACAGAAGGGGATTTTGGAGAGAAAGCTGCCAGCGAATCGAATTTAATTGAACCAGAACCTTGGGACAGCGGCAGAGCGGGTTGCATGTGCAGGGGTTTTAGGCCCGCGATTGCAGAGCCGCGCTTGCTAGTTGGGGAAGGTGGGTCTTCACACACTTTACGTGACGTGACGCGCCTACTTTACGTATTTGACCATCGAAGCGTCTCGCTAATATTTACTCCAATCGCAAGTTCATTTTTTGTTTAAAAAAAAATCAGATTCACCGATTCTCGAAGGGCCAAATTTCATGGTCGTCTTATAGTCCAGGTTTATTTATTTCCGAGTATACAATATTAATCATCTCGTCGCAATTATGGACGACGAAGAACCCACCCTACCTAAACTCCCCGCAGTGTCTTGGGATTCTTACACCCAAACTTTCACTAATACGCGAAAACGCGCTCGCGACCAATCGCTCGCGCCACCAGTATATGCTAATTCAAGCGACCCAGCTGTTTTCTCCAGCGATGATGATCCTCATGTGGAGAATTATACCCAGGGAAGACATAGGAAAAAGCGCTATGTCGGCTCCTGGTTTCAGCAGCACCTCGCGTCATCTGATTCGACGTTTTCCGAGGTTGCACGGCCTTTACCAAAAGCAAAAAGGACCTTCGAGCGACAATTCGACAGTGGGGTTTGGATGGGAAGCGATGTCTCTGTGGATACAGATGACGATACGGTTACGGAAATGGATTTGCCTGCCTTATCTAAGCTACCGCAACTCAGACATGTTCGGCCTGTCCCGGCCATCTCCCCTAGTGAGGCAATCGCTCGGCAAGTAATACAGGACGCTATAGATGCCGGGAGCACGGCTATAGACCTGTCGTAAGTATTTCTTCCGTCCGCGGGCCGGTATAGAAACAATAGGCCGCTATATAATCCACGCAGACACTAATTAGCTATAGCTCATCCCAGATCGATAGTATCTCTAATGCAACTATATCGCAGCTTTCTATGCTCGATACTGTCCCCCCTATAGCTGAAGATTTTCCATTTCAGCCTAAGGAACCATCTATTTCTCTTTACTTGTCCAACAACCCTCTTTCACGCGTTCCTGGTGCTATCTTCAATCTAGAGAATTTGACTATTCTCACTCTGCGAAATACCAATATTACTGAGCTCCCGCCTAGTACTGGAAAACTTCGTAACCTTCAGACCCTAAATATATCTCTTACACGTCTTCGGTCCTTGCCAGGGGAATTACTGGATCTGTTGAGGTTTCCTAGCAAACTTGAGATTTTAAACATACACCCGAACCCCTTTTACCAGCCAGACAATTTCAAACCGGATTGGGTTGACGACGATTCTTGGAACGAAGTAAAGCACGGGCAGGCTGTGTTCTTTCAGAACGAGCTAGTGCGACCTAATGGCAGAAGGGTACGTTTCTGGCTCGACAAGCAGCATGAACCCTCCGTCCGACCCGAGGCGCCCGCTATTAAAAGACTACATGGTTCTTTGTGGGAGGTTATTATACTCGCACGGACACCAGTACAATTTAGCGATAGCCGAGGGGTCGTGGCCTCTGCGTATAAACTGCCCGACTCAACATCGACTACAATGGATAGTCCAATACATGAGAATGTAGAGCATCCAAACCAGGTCATTCAAACCGAGGATCTCCATTTATCTCCAGAGCTCCCGCGGCTCAGGCGAAACCAGTCCACTTCAATCTGCGATCAAAGCCGTGTGCCATCGCTATTTGAATTAGCCCTCCAGTCTTGTTTAAGATCCGGACAGCTGCGAGAATTACCATCATACCTTCCATCCAACGCGCCTCCGCATCTCACGGAGTTGTTCAATCGGCTTACCGATCGAAGCGAGCAGAACGCTAATTCTGGTGACTTACCTTGCTCAGTATGCGGACGGCGAGTCGCAGTGCCCTTGACCGAATGGATCGAATGGTGGGAAATTTCTCGCCTTGATATCGATGAGAAAACAAACGACATCTCCACGGATTTTGTAGGTTCGGGAGATAAAGAGAGGGGAATCCCCTTCTCGATGAGGGGCTGCTCTTGGAAGTGTTTGCCCAAGGCGATGAAGCCGGGACAACGACATCGAGGGACTATTAGATGGGGTTTCGATCCACAGGAATAGTCTACTACGTGTACAATTTAAAACCGGATCGAACTAAACTGATGGGGCGGATTGCATCGTCAATATGAATTGATCAGCAAATCACCTCGCATGCAATAATTCATCTTGCGAAGCCTTGTTAAGGGACATACCTAGCTCTAAGGGACATAGCTCGTATAACCCACGTAAACAGGCAAGTTTCGGGTGAGCATCTATGATAGCTTCTGTATTCCACACAATATTACAATACCCACTTTCTTCGAACAAGGTCGTTCTCCGTCTCTAATCTTAGTCCCTCAAAAATATCCGTGACCTTATAGTATTCTCTGGCTATCCATAATGTGCGTCGTCCCTTTCTTTGGGTAAAGTTAAGGGTTTCGATCTATGGCACACCCTAGCAGGCTGTTCGGTCTATAAATCTACCTCTGGAGATGGAGTCGACAGCTTTAAGCAAAATCCTATGTAATTACCTAAATTGATTAAGAGTTGAGCACCCCAATATCTATGGTGACTCCTCTTGAAACACCGCATCGTCCGGTGTGGTCCTGGTTCAATACGGGACATAAAGAATTAACCGAGTTAAAGCTAATATATAGAGGCTTAGTTGGTAAATATTCTAAGAGTACAGTTATCTCTCAACTTAATCGCAAGTTAACTATAGTACGTAGTGCAAGTTGCCTTTACATATATCTACCTATTAGTTCAATCTTCTCCAAGTCCCAATCCGTCGGCTTCTCATAAAAAGACATCAATCTAAGATAGACGCTCTTATTAACAACCAGCTATGCTTATGATCCAATTACCTCCCTATCCGACAAATCCGGGTAAACGAGTATGATTGGCCATGTCGCTACACATCCGGGGTCAAGGTCGGTAGTGAGCCAGGTTACAATAATGGCTTCATCGGCGTATGTATGTAGTGTTACCCCATAGGCACTATCCGTACGGCATGGGCCGCTAGAATGCGACCTTGCGATGCCGGGAAACCCTCGCTGAGAATTGCCATGTGCATGAGGCAACCTGCACGACTCGAGGCTAAGGGTGAATTGTTAAAACACCACCTACGTAGTTTTTTATGCGCAAAGCGTCGCCTATGCTGTATAATGTATTATACGACCCTGGGGCATTGCAACTTTCTCACTTCTTTATCCTCGTTCGTCGGTTATACCCAGAGCATAAGTACATACAAGCCAGCTCCCGCCGAGCCGGTAGCAACCCACGTGCCCGAGTTATATCTCAAAGTCGGTCTTACCGGGGGCTAGACGGACGTACCTAACCCAGCGGGCTATATACAAGGTCGAGCGCGGAAGAAATCGGTAACCACCGCGACGTTTGCTCCGGCGGCATCGCACGATGTATGGTCAGCGAGTTCGTACGATGAGTTCTTTTTCTATGTAACAGTCGTGAAATCGGACCTTATGACCAAAAGAACCTGGCGCGGCGGGTCTATATAAACTAGAAGCTTCTTTTACATATTCTATGTAGGTATGTATGTATGCACCGACCCTCAGCGCGACTGGCCGGTGGTTGGCTCGAGGCGTTGTGGGCGTGACCCGAACGACCATCCGAGTTTTCCGAGTCTTTGGGTAGATCAAGGCCATCTGCCGGCCAGGATATTGTGCATATAGGTTAGGTACCTACCTAGGTATATGTGTATGCAGAATTGTACAGTATGCGCCCGCCTAGGCGCATACTGTCTATAGAAGGAATACATACATTTGCGGCGGAAGGATTCGAACGTCGAACTTCGCGTGAACGTTTGGTCATGTCGCTTATGCAGCGATACGCCAAATTCACCGTCCCGCTATCTGCCATATAATTCGCTTATTTTTGGGTTTTCTCATTCTCACCTCAGAAGCATTCTTTTATTTTCTACAGTGTCTTGGTCTGCTTGCGATATCTCGCGTGTAAGTCGAGCTAGAAGCTATTCGCGCAGAACACATACAGTTAGGTATGTACTTATCTACGACATTCTTTAATACTCTCTCCGAATCCCGACCGTCGCCGGCTAGGTACGTGACAGGTACATATGTAGGAAAGAAATACATGGTTGGAATTCCTTCCGCGGGACTCTTGGCAGACTAACTCAACTCGTTAATACCAAAAGCTTGTGCTGTCAGCCCTGTGCGTCTGACATTCTCGGCTTAAACCGCTAACGCCTAACCTAACCTAACTACTCGAGCTTCAAATGCTAACCTGATATGGGAAGACTAATGCGCCGCAATAGGAAAGAAGACTTCAATAGTTCGTTCGAAAAAGATATGTAATGCAGCTGTATGTAATGACGGCCCCCAATGCTAGCTCATCAACTTCATATGTCAGCATATCACTAAATGAACTACTACATACGTACTATCTATCATACAACATCGTCGCTTAGTTATCAAAATTCTTTGAACTTCCATATCGTGATCTATTATCTATCCCTAGAACATCATACTACGAACGGAACTTGAATTCCTAGGTACCTAAGATATCTAGTTGAGGGGATGGATAATAACATACAATAATAATACATAGCTAGGTAAGTAAGGAGGACCGCCCTCGCTAGTGAAGTCAGAAACGAAGTGGGAACAAGAGAGGAAAAAAAAGGAGCCTCAACCCGATAATGCCGAACTGCCCGGCGATCAAGTTTTATTTAGGCGCTATGCGGAACTCCGATAAACCCTTGCTTGCCTTCTTTCATTACCTATTTCGTTCTTAATTCTTTCCGTCTTACATACACATGTACACTACTTACTTCCGCCCTTCTACCTATGAATGTGGTCAAGTCTTTGTATTAGGTATCTTGTTCACCTGACGACGTTGTATATTGGAACCGCAAGGCTACTACTAATCCATGTTGCATGCGAGTATGTAGTGTATCCGTCTCTTAGGAATCATACATACGGTGCTGGCCAACGATCGCCCTTACCGTTAGCACCCATTCATATGTAGATGCTAGGGTTGGTGCCGCATATGGCAGCAACGGGTAAGACAAGAATGGGAAATGGGAATTCCGAGCGATCCGGCTGTCGCTACTATCCATATCTGCGATCCGCCATCCCATTTTCATGATCAGATGCTACTGCTTACACACATACCCATACATGTGCCTATCTTATGTACAGTCTAAGTCTTCTATGTACCCACTCAACCGTGACTCTTTCTTCCGATGTCACTGGCGCCAGTCCGGGCGAGAGTTTATTAATATGTGCCAAGGTCGAAGGGAACGCGAGCTAAATGCCGAAATGCGTCTCTTATATATTAATATTTACCTATTGCCTCCTCGATGATTCGCATTCTCTGTGCTTGTTTTCTTTTTCCTGGGTCGCCTAGACTGTAGCCAAGATCCTCGGAACTCCTCGGCATCGTTACGGTAATCGACATTGACATCACCATTGCTATATAGCTATTACAGCCAATATATATATATATATAGGTATATACTATAATACTATACTACAATGTCGTCATCCCCCTCCGCAATCCAGGCTCTCGTCCGCTGGGCGAGCCTCAAGAAGTACCGTATCGAAGTCACCTATGGCGTGTACGTCTATACGCCCGTAGAAAAAGCCGTCTTCTGGACCATCTTCTGCTTCTTATTCACCACCCTCTCCTTCGCCGCTATCCTCTACACCGAGCGGAATGTTCTCCTGTTACTTCGATACGCCTCCATTTACGTTAGCGGCGAAGGCGGCGTTATCAACGTGATCTCAAACTTATTCCCCAGGAGCAACGCTCCATTCACGATAGTGGGTTCCGGCATGACGTCGGTGGCCGAGACTATGAGCACTGCTGCCAACTCGCAGATCCCATAACCGCCCCGGGAGACAAGAGGGCCCGTCTATCCCGCTGAAGGGAAGGCGGCGAGCAGAGACGAACTGGATCGCTATCCCATATGGAAAGGGATGGAATTCTCGGGAAGTTAGATACAACCAGATCTGACATCACTTCCGCCACTGCGCAACGCACATAACTGCCAAACTCCCCGCAACGAACTTGACGGTGCCCCGATTTGAGTAGCACAAGGCCCCTCACAATACAACCACTATTCCGTCGCAGAACGGGATCGTGAAGGACTTTGCCGAAAACAAGCTGCGACGCAACGATACATCACCTACCAAGGCTCTACGCGTTACAGCTCAGTAAATTCAGATGATGCCTGAATACGAGACCGCAACGCTAAATGTATCGGCGAATACAGCTAAAACTGCGAGTGGGCTAGGATAGCGAAAAGACATAGGGGGGTTGAGGAAATGGGTTACGAATTACATACGGCCTATACAATAGATAGGTTCAACGACTTGCATGAGGGTGTCTACTCTACGGTGTTCGGAGGCTTAAGTAAAGCCTTGGTTTCTGGAAATACCATCTTGTCATTTTGGCGGGTCGTCGAAGAAAGAAGAGTCTGGAGTTTATTTGCATAGGGGATGGTTTTAGGAATACCCTCGTTCGAAGGCGCTTTGGAAGTTTTGCTGCGATACCCCCTTTTTTTCGCGGATATCCCTCTGCCAGCCTATTTACGCCCTGTCGATATTTTTTTACTCGAGAAGAATATACTTATTTTGAAATATCGTGATATGCTAACGAATTCATTAGTGAAGAATTAGGTATATAAGACATATCACAAAAGGAGAAGGCCTGTCTTTGGTATAGTTAGAACATGTTAAAAGCACACTTATATATACCCAGTCCCCTACAATGCCAGCCTTTAAAATATAGACTTATACGCCTACCTACTTCGTCGCCGTTCCAAGTAATTCCTTCGCAACATCCCTCAACTTAAACTTCTGTATCTTCCCACTGGCCGTCTTGGGGAACTCGTCGGTCCAAAAGACGTACTTCGGCACCAAATGACCCGAAAGCTGTTCCCGGACCCAACCTCTCACCTCGTCCTTAGACAACGCTTCCGCTTTGCCCCTACCCACATCTACCTCGCCGTCTTCTAGCGTCTGGACACCTGAGTGCACCGCTACGAACGCGCCGACGACCTCGCCGTACCGCTCGTCGTGTACCCCCACGACGCTGGCCTCGCGCACGCGCGGGTGTCTCGCTAGCGCAATTTCGATTTCGAGCGGGTGTATGTTTTCGCCACCTCTGATTATCAGATCCTTTATGCGGCCCGTAATTTCGACGAACCCGTCGCGATCCATGCGCGCCTCGTCGCCCGTATACATCCACAGCCTACCATCCTGGTCCCGAACCAGGTCTTCGCCCGTCCGCGCCTCGTCGTTCCAGTACCCCTTCATGAGTAGGTATCCGGATACAGCTAGCTCGCCGCATGTACCGCGCGGCACGATTCGCGACCGGTCGCCCGGCGCAACGATCTTAAGGGCCGTATGGGGCATTGCGCGGCCCACGGTACTCGTGCGTCGATCGTCCGGGTCCGTGGGCGCTGTCATGCAGCTTACGGGGCTGGTCTCCGTCATGCCGTAGCAGATGACCAGATCTCTCAGCCCCAACTTCTCTCGTAACTTGCGCATTAGCGGTTCCGGAACCGAACTGCCCGCCGCGATGCCCTTGCGCAAGTTACTAAGGCCGCCTGGTGGCAAACGTGCGGCGAAAGCTGGGTTAGCGAGGAGCTCGAGTTCGGCAGCGAACATGGTGGGTACGCCGTAGAGCCCCGTAGCGCGTAGCTCCGCGGCGGTATGCAGGGAGGCTGCAGGGTCGAACGCTGGGCTCGGGAACGCGATACAAGCTCCCGTCGTTGCGGTTGCCATGAATCCTAGTACGGATCCGAAGCAGTGGAATAGCGGCGGCGGACACACTATCCTGTCACTGGGATCAAGCCCCATGCGCGCTGCGATTAGCCGGCCGTTGTTCAGGATGTTGGTGTGATTTAGCATCGCGGCTTTTGGCATGGATGTCGTGCCTGACGTGAATTGTATATTAATCGTTTCCGCTGGGACGAGCGGAGCATCTGGTATTATCGAACGGGAGAGAGAAGACGTGGAAGGGGAAGATAAGCGGAGTGAGGAATAAGGGGTTAGTGCACGGAGGTCTTGTATGGGAGGAAAGCCGGCGAGGGGATGAGAGGGCGTATTATCTACAAGCACCACAGACTTGAGCGCAGGGACGGTCGATGATTCAACTTTACTACTAGACAGATCGGGTACAAGGGCAGACAAGAGATCGTAGTTACTACGGCCGCGGCACGGCTTATAAGCAAGGTCCGTAACGGCTGCTATAACGAGGACCTCGACACTAAGGCGGGATAGTGCGGCACTGAGCTGGTGGGCGTTGAAGGTCGGATTGAGCGGGACTAGAATGGCCCCTAGTTTAACGACGGCATATGTTAACACGGCATGTTCGGCGACGTTCCCCAAGCTCACGGCGACGCGGTCCCCCTTCTTCACGCCGAGGGACCGTAACGAATGCGCGAGGATATTCGACTGAGCATCAAGATCCTCATACGTTAAAGTCGTAGTCTCCGGCCTGGATGAAGTTAATGTCGGACTCATGTCAGCTGTTGTTGGAGACCGGAATACGGCAGCTGGCTGGTCGCCATATTGCGAGACGATCTCTGCGAAATGCTCTGGTATCGTGCATGTGAGCAACGGCGGCTATCGAGTGTTAGTGGGCAAGCCGTGTAAGATTCATAACGAGCCACGCAACCAGATGATAAAAATTACTTACTTCTTTCGGTCCCTCCACATAACTCAGATCAGACGTAGCAATGCATCTCCGCTGCATCATCAGTCGACTTCCCGTCCAACCGCGCAAAGCCCCCGATATCGCTGGCCCTCGAGTAGAAGAGCTATACCGTAAAACCCGACGGCTTAACGTATAGCTACAGCTACGCAAGGCGTTCGACGCCAACGGTCGAAATGACGACTCCATATTATTGTGTCGAGTATTTCAACTCAAGCTCTGGAATCGGAAACAAGACGAGCAATTCCTCAGCGCCGGCAAAATGTCAAGTTCCTCTAGGTATTCCCTCCGCAAGAGCCGCTTATTCATATCCCTCGCGAGTGTCGAATCGGAAGAGGCCGTGACACGATGGACAACAACGCCTCGTGGACTCCCGCAGCCCACGTTCGTCTATCCGATACCTCGCAGCAGTGAGACCGTCTAGAGCGGGCACGTTCAACATATGTATACTCGACTAGACCCGCCATAGCTAGCCCCTGTAGAGCTAGCTACATCGTCATTTTGTCGGGGAAGTGTGGGGTTCCAGCGGCCGACGATGAGGAGAAGCGGGGGAGAAACTAGGCTCTGGCTTTGCCGAAACATCAGGGGCGTATTAGAAATTACACATCACAATTGTATGCACGATTAGGAGAGATATGCAAAAGAAGCAACTTATAAAGGTAACCCCATCAGACTAATATTGTCCGGGGGGTCCATGCTGTTGCTGAAAAGCAAGACTAAATATCCGCCAAACGCCCAAGTCCATGCATAACGGGTATATACAATTGGTCCTCCCCTGATGGATGAGTGGCACCCCGAATGCCTATTTCTTTTTCTTCTCTGTTGCGCCAAACAGCAACGTCACCTACCTTACGTATTCTATCTATTTCGTGTGTCCGCCGAGGGGTCGGCACCCGGCGCCAACCAGCCACCATCTTCGGAAATAAAACAGTAAGATTGTTGGTACAAAACAGTCGGGTGGAAACTTGCAAATTTCTCATCCGAGTTAGCATGACAGCTTCCCCTCATATAATTTTGAACAGGGTCTTAGTAATGAATGACTGCTGTAACATCCCGTGGGCAAAACTGGTATTCGCTATCACATGAGACGGGTCGTGAACTTCGTAAGTAGTAAAATAGTGTTACAAATCCCGTATACGATCGCCGAGTTCGTGATATTAGACCAGGAGACTGATGTGTTCCTACGCTTGTCGGAGGAGGTCCTATTTAGAAGGCCAAGTCTCCTAGGGGATGACGAGACGATAGCCCGGAGGTGACCTATATTATAGAACGCGCAATCGATAGCCCTTAGTTATTCTCGCCAATGTGCCGCTCGCTTTCAGGCTTCCAAGTGCCTAAGAATGTTAACAAAAAATACTTATGGCTACATAGAACGGATACCCTTACCTTCGAAGTCATGTTTGACAAATGCCATAGGGTCGTCATAGTCCTTTGCCCCCATCTGCTGGACGCCGGGCGAGAAGCTTGTAATGGGGAGTACCACAACATCGCCCACCTTTTTCGGCTTTTCAATCCCTGTGAAATTTACGTATGAAACATTGCCCTGGCTATTGCTCATATCGAAGTAACGCGGATCGTTGAAGTAGTCGAAAATCACGTCCGTCCAGACAGCAGGGCCTGTAAACTCCACCACGCTCTTTTCTTTCGACACGAACGTACCCTCGCGCTTTCGCTTCAATGTCTCCTGGGTGATGCGCGAAACGACGTCGCGTAAGACCGGGTGGCCCGGCTTTGACTGGATAGTCCACTGGCAGAATTGAATGCGCCGGCTGTACCAATCTTTCCAGTCGGGTCGGTCGGGGTCCGCCTCGATTCCGATGACCAGCCCTATGCTTTCCTTCGGCACAGACTCTGGGATCCAGTCCAGAGCACTCTTGATAGCGAACGTGTCGATGTCGGAGTAAATTCCACCACGGGCAAGAAGGATAAGGTAACGGAAGAAGTCGGCTTTTAGAACAGGTTGGGGGAGCGCATTGTACGCTTCGAGGATTTCGGGAATAGGAGCATAGAGCAGCTTTAATAGGTGTACGGCGACCTGATCGGTGATGACTTCGTGGACAAATCCTGGGTGCTGCATCGACCACGAAGCTTCTTGGTCTCTAAAGTTGAATTCTCCACTAGCGGGTGTCCATTTCCACGTCTGCCAAATATAGGCCGGAAATTTAGTCTCGACGTCGTATGGATATTGGTATGCTAGTTTGTCATATAAGGACATCTTGGACATATCTTGAAGAGCTTTCTGCGCAGGGACTGGTTTGTCGGATTCCTTATCCGGAGTATAGGAGGGAGTAGACTGGTCGTGCGATGCTCCGACATGCTCGCTGTTCGAGTCTGCAGGCTTCGGTGGAGGTTTCCGGAAGGGTTCGGGCTCGTCAGCCGAGGCGTGTGATCTTCGTAGCAGGATAAATCCTACTAGGAAGAATGCTGCGAAGATGATAGCTCTCTTAAAGGAAAGCATTTTGCGATTTGCCATATCGACTCGTTAAACCTCGTTCGCGTCGGGGGTCGTAGCCTACAGGAGCCAGCTGAACAATGACGCGGCTTAGAGAGGCATGCAGTGAATGTCAGAAGAGCAATTGACCAGATTCGGAGGTATCATGAGAAATCTTGAAGGGGAAAGGGATGCATGTAGCTAGTTAAACTATTCCATAAAGTTTTAAGCTTGTGTAGGCCGATGTAGGTAGATGGGGTGAATTACGGCTCAAGGCCACTTTCGAGAGTTTCGAAAGTGTCGAAAGTTTAACGAAAAAAAAAAGTTAGAAATAATGGTTCCTGGATGCTTGTGATTAATGTCTTGGCTCTTTCGGTTTCAAGCCTACGTCTTTGCTTACACCCCCACCCCCCTTTTTCGATTTATCGTTTCTTGGCGTTAGCTCCGACTCTGCGGATTTGATGCACATGTCCGATAAAATGTCCTTGTAAATGCATATCTACACCTCATTCTTATCATTGGTGTCGTGGCCCGTGACGACTTGATGTGGCTTAGCAACGGTAGCACCGGCAGCAGCGATTTCATGTTTCAAAACCCCAACCATCTGTAAATTGAATTTGATGTGATTTTATAACACATTCTAACATGTCTAAATCGCTACCTCTTATTGTTTACTTAGCCATCAGAGAATTGTAAACTTAGCGGCTATTGTTTCTACTAATTTTTTTTTTCATCGCCCCATTGAAAATACGATACGATTTCTAAAAATCTCCACTTAGTCTGTAATCTATAGTAACTAATCCGCGATTGAACTCATACTTCTATTCTTAGGACAAAATAACCAAAAAGGGATAGTGTCTAAAGAATATGCACATTATAAGGCTGATCGCCATGTTGCTAGTCTTTTGAGTGTTGTATGATAAGCACGAAGGAAGCTCTTCTATTGTCACATAATGAAGAGTGACGTCATTAAAGCACAATGACTGTCTTGGAAGAAAGGGTCAAATCCAAGACATAATACACACAACATTGCTTAAAATAAAAGGATAGAAGGGATCTCTAGAGTTAAATCGGCACTGGGAATGTGATAATAAATACGATTTCACTATTGGTAATCTTAAGCGTATAAGGTAATGTAGGCTTTATTTGCTCTATGAAAATTCCCTTGCCGGCACTGGTATGCAAATCATCTCAGCTACTTAGATATTTGATGGTATGCATCAATAACACTGTCAAAATAATTGAATGAATAGTTCAAATTGAAATGGGAATTAATAAATTCGATTTCAATCAGCTGCTCATACTTCGTAATACAATATAATACACTCATCAGACATTCAGCGCCACAGGGACGCTTACTTCGTGATAATACAGATAAGAAATAGGTATCATTTTGAACAACCAAGCCCTTAATTCCAACATAGGATTCGTCATCACTTCTTCTTTACAATTCTCAAGTCGTAGCTTAAACGTCATGACCTAATTAACGTTAGCGACTTAGTGACAATGACACATAATACAAGGTATCCAATAGGAAACATACGACCAAGCTGCTTGCCCCTCTTCGAAACTTCGCGGGCGTGGTACTGCTTAATCTTCGCGCGTCGGGCTTCCTCGGCAGCCTCTAGCTCAAGTCTCTTAACTTCGGCCCTAGCTTCGCGGACACGGACGCGAGCTGATTCTAAAGCTCTGTCGGCATCCCGCTCGGCCGCCTCGGCCTGCATGACGCGCTCGCGGGCCTGGACGATTGACGGGTCGATGTCCGGGTTGGTAGTGTTGCCATGTCCGAAGGTACGCTGTAGCACGCTTCGGTGACGCGAAGGGGATGAAACGTCTAGATGGATGAGTTGGTAAGATCGCTTTGCTTTGATAGGTGTATAGTATATTAATCAACCATACCTGAGTTCCTTGAGCTATTGGTTGTGTTACTATGAGTGGTGGCAGGAGAAGGTGATCGATGACGGGAACCGAAGAGACCGTGCGAGTGTCTCTTCTCAGTCTTCTCGGGGAGAGGCTCCTCCACAACTTCTTCCTCGGGCCTGCGGCTAGAAAATAAAGGCATTTTGATGATATTTAATAGAGGTATAAGTTTATAAGTTGGTTGAGAGTATAAGGTAGGTAACTATAGTAGAAAACGCTGGATACAATACTGTACAGAGGTAGATATACTTTAGATTAATAATATGTGAAAATGAGTATAAATATATTGAAATCTATGGGCGGGTATTGCTCTATTTGAACACTTCGACAACCTATACGTCTCATCTCGATGATCGTGACGCAAACCTGTTTTCTGCTGCCGTCGACGATGATGTACAAGATAGTAGATCACTAGTATGACGTGCGGAGTTGAGACGTGTAGCCAATCAAGCGACATGTTAAAAATGACAACCAATCATATGAGAGCGGTGACGAAAATATGTTACTTACAAAACCCTGTAATTCTAAGAAATGCAGGGACCTACTTAGGTAATCAAGCCAGGCACTTAGTGTAAGGGACTATCCGGGGTAATTTTTGATATCGTTTGTTATCGCTTAAATGCCATCATGGAGTCCCACCAAGTCCCATCCCGAATCCTGATCACGCTCACCTATGTACATACACTATACCCAATACCGACGGACGCCTTACCAAGATCTAGACTACACCCACAATTAGTCCCGACTTGGTGGGATCAAAATGTCCGACGGAGCCTTGGCAAAGATCAATTGTTTATCTCATCTTGCATGAGAGACCTGGGTCCTGAATCTCGATCGCATTGCATGATAAAAAAAGCCTGGTGTTTGGGGAATGCCGAAACTTGGACTAAATTCAATGCAATTCTAAGCTGAAATCCGGGTATTGAGCCCTGCCGGTTTGAGACTTCAGCTCCAACCCAATATTGGCAAACTCAAGAATTTACACCGTCAAATTGACTATATTGGTACCTTGTTTTCTTCATCCTCAGTGATGATTATTTACCTACCTAACCTACATAGGTACCCTATTACATATGAGTATCCGCTAACTCACTCGGTATGCGCTATGAGTTAGCAATCGTTAGCTATGCAGATCTCTATGTAGCGACAGTAAAGTTGGCAGACGTACTCATATATGACTTCTAAGCCTTTCCAGAGGCAACTTCCGATCCACATCCCGGCGTTTAGTTTCTCTGCGTATCGCTCATCCGTAGTCTTCATGGTGACGAACACCCTGAATAGACACGATCTTGGGTCAACCGATGCTGATGCCCCTGGGTCTTGAAGCGCCTTCACTAGCTCGGGAGGTCCGGTCATATTCCCTCGCGTTTTGCATTCGATGCTATTTTGCATAGATCAGTTTCTACATTCTTGCCCATGTCGACGTACTCACTATGCTGGCACTTCGTCCTCGGTCTGTAGCCGATGCATCCCTTCCACCCAAGTTGCCGCTGTTTTTCCATGGACTACGTCTTGGCTCTCTTGCCCTCCATTCTATTCCACGTCAATCTTTCATATCAACATATATCACTATTGATTTGAATAACTTACGACAACAAGACCATATCCGAAACGGCCCGACCAGCTGCCGTCGGAGAATGTTGACCACTTCTTAAAGCCATCGTTTACGGCAACTGAAGCAGACTGGGAACTCAAGATAACTTTCATTCGGAAGTCAAATTCCAGTTGTGGGACTGGAAGGGCCCTCTGTGGATATGGAAACCGTTCCATGGCTTCATACTCCTTCCTTGTGAGTTCTCTTATAAGACCTTGTTAGATAAGATAGTAAAGAGTGGCCATTCGGACATATACCTGGACGGCTTTTGATCTATTGATTGCTGCGATTGTTTATTTCCGATCCATTGTTTTTCCACTGCCTCCCATCCGCTGTGTCTCCTCTCCGGAACGATTTTCTTCATCCAGTCATCAGTTATGACCAGTGTCGTGTCCCAGTCCGAAGCTTCAGTCAGATCGGATATCGTCAGCGGTACTCGTCCTGGGCCCGCCATACTATGTTGGTGTTATTCGCCAACAAATTGCTCGGCGAAGAATTCATCGAGAATGGTCAATACCTACGTCGCAATTCAATCACGAAGGACATTTCCGACAAACATAGTACTTTTGCAGCTGAAAACTCCGCTATGGACGCAGTCCAGCTATCCTCGGAGTATTACACAATTCCGGAAGGTTGGGATACCACATAGGCCGTAGGATTATTCTACGTCGGATGAAAGTCAGGCCGCAGGAAGCCAATTATTACGCCGACCGCAAGCCCCTAAAATGAAAGCAGATCGAGATTATAGGGCAATATCTTTAGTCAGCGGCACAGCAAGCATCATAACATTTTAAGGACTGCTGAACTGTTCTTTGTCTTCGGCCGACTATCTGCATTCTACAAAGTCCGCCGCCCCGGACCGAAGGCGGCGAAATTCGTAGCTGGTAATAGGCTTTCTTAAAAGGAATAATGCGAGAAAAGACGCCGCCGAAGAAATTAAAGAATCTAGAAGCCGACATTCAATATAGGTAGGGTATCTAAATAATCCTATATTCTCTAAGCGTACTTGTTTCTTGATGATGTCTATGTCACATCTTTAACACTACTATTTACTAAGACTTTCACGGCCCTATATCAACAAAGTCTTTGTTGGAGATAGTGGGGGTGGATCATATTGGTCTTTATTAATATGGCTAGCGCTCATCTACTACACTACTAGCCAATGGATGAATATATTACTCTAGCACCATCCAGATACGTGCCAGTAATATACCAATGGTGCCGGTACCGTATCATCGCTTCTGCTCCCCATTCTTCTTAGACCCGACATCGTGGTCCTTCCGCAGGTTTACTTGCTGCATCTGGTCACTCAGCGGACATGGTGGCTGTGGACGTGGCTCTGGCGATGGGGCGCTTGACCGTGTATATCGACCTGGATCTTGATCTAGGGGTTCGGGACTGGACGATACGGAACGGTCCGGCTGGTCCGGCTTTCCTATGCTTCTTGACATGCTTATTGGCTACTAGGTACCCAAGGTATCCGAAGATGAAGTCGTGGTGTAAAGCCTAGATGGTGTTGATGGGCAAGCTCCTTTTTATAGACGGTGTCTTGTAATGAAGCTGGGTTAAATCATTCGTGGTTTCTGCCCAACGTTCTAGTTTAAATACAAAAAGAATAAGGACCATGGGTAGTAGTAACATGGTATTGTATTAAGGTGAGTTTATTCAATATTAGTAGATGACTAAAAGATTGTGCTGCCAGCGTTTACATCTTGCGTGTCAGCTAATGATTACTTATTAGATTAGACATTACTATGATTCCCGGTAATAGGAGTTCACTGCCGTTGCTCCTGTTGATCACGGCCCATGGGGGCATTCACTTGGTCCCCTGCCGTCACGTATGGTCTGAGGCCGTCGGCAATCTCTCCCCAGACAAGTCCTAGCTGGTGTTCGCACCAACTGTAAAGCCACATGACATCCTTCAGTTTTGCGAGGAGCATCTCTTTATCTAGGATGTTCCTCGTCCGGCAGTAGTTCTTCAGCGCAGTGATGAAGAAGTTGTGTTGGTCACCGCCTAGGACTGAGTATTCGTTTACTACAACTGGGATGCGGATGCATGACCCTATGAATAGGGCCCAAAGGAGAATATTGGCGTGAAGCTCGTCTCCGGAGAGCCTGGAAATTCCCATGTGTGATATCTCTGACGTTGGGACATAGGCGGATAAGTTTGCCGTAGTGGATTGTTCTGCATTGCTTCTAGATAGCTGCGACCCGCTACTTTCGTATACCTTTGGCTCGGACAGAAGGTCCAAGGCTAATACAGGGTCGCAGAGAGACGACATGAGCGCTTCTGCTAGTGCGCGATGCCTCTGGGCGGAAGGGGGCTGGCCTCGAATGGCAAGGTGCAGAAACAGATGTGCGGCGTAGATCAAAACGTCGGATAAATCAGTCGGCGAGGGGAACCGTGGCTGTGTATCGGCCTCGACCGATGGTAGCAACGGGACGGAGCCGGCTCTCTTCCAAGATTGGCGACTCCGAGCAGCATGTTCCAGATGACAGAGCCGCCACTCGATCATGTAGATTGAGTCGCTGACTTGGATCCTCTGCCCAAATGTGCTCTCGAGACTTGCATAGTCGAAGTTATTAATGCATTCGGTGATCGAATATAACAGTTCGAAAAGCTCGACCGCTTCGCGATTCTGGATGGTTAGGTCCTTGAACCCAAGCGGTTCCATGTTTGCTAACATCGAGCGGCTGGTGAATCGATCATGGAGAGCTAGAGAGGATGCCAGTTGCGGAATAAAGGGGAAGGCGACCGGCTTGTGCGCGGCGGTGGCATAGGAATAGTCGGCCCTACGGTAGTTAGTATGTCATACGGAGTAGTTAGAGAAACTGTATAATATCAATAAACTTTGCTTACCATGATATGGACCGTTGAAGTATACTGCTGTGCTTGAACCCGTCGACAATTCCACCTCTGAGGTCGACCATTCTCTTCAAGCCGCTCATATGAGCCGCGGCAGCACTTAAGGAGCCGATAAAAGTCTGCGTAGGGTTAGTTCCTTGAACAATTTTCTTTCTCAAGTCACTTTCTATTGTTGATAGCTTACTTCGATATTAACGAGTAGCGAAACGGCGACGACAAGTCCATCTGAGATTGGCTTGCTATCGTCCTTTCCTTCCAGATTCAACCTCTCATTGATGGACTTGACTGCCTGGAAACGATGGAAATCGATGGTACTCGTGTCGGCCCACCTCGCAAGCGAGTTGTGCATAGCTGCGATCATGGCAATGAAGGCATGCGTGGCAGCCTTATCAAGTTGAAGCTATTACATGTTAGCCTCCAGTTACCTATACGATGGGGATTAGGTGGCCGAACCGCTTGCACCCAAGTCCCTTCTGGGTTCATGGCGAAAGCATTTGCGAGGAATCCAGAATAATCTATAGTTGGTCAACAATCATCTTTTGCCTTTGGTTAATGAGGAAGTTCCTGCTTACATGTGTTCAAGTACGTCGGTACCCCAGCGCGGTCAAACCACTTCTCGACGGCCGTCTCTTGTGGCGACAAACACACAGCCATGCAATATTTCATCAAGCTCTCTGTCAAAGGTGTCTTCTCTATGTGCAACAGTGTAAAGTTCGGAAGCTCCTTTGCGACACTAACAGCGAGCCAATTCGTCTTCTTAAGCTTCCTCTCGTACCTTGGGACATCATCTTGGTCCTTGGATGAGCCTCTGGGTTTAAGTCTAAACTTCGAAGTATGGTCTTTTGCGGACCCTGGTTTCTTCGGCTGGGGTGGATGGTTGGAACCGTGAGGGAGCTTCTGCCGCCTGGCATGCGAGCGCACCTTTCGGCGTGTCTCCTCGTCCCGCTCTACGGTGCTGATAGAGGTGATGAACTGAAATCCCGTATTGCCAGTAGAGTCCGGTGCCATTGCGCCTTGAATAACGTGTAGTCGGTTCAATGCTGATTATATGTTATATGTAGTATGGCTCTTGGTGTAACTTGATGTTTAAGAAAGTAGACAGTGTTGATGTTATTATTAGATTCGTAAGCGTTGTCTTCGTTTCAAAGACTACCCGACATAGTTCGACCAACTATCTTATATATGTGGAAGATGGCGTACTTCGATCCCATACACTGTTGAAATTAGAACGTTCCGAGAAGAAAGCGTACAGCGAAGGTGTGATTCGGCTCGGGCCTTTTGTGCGAGCCTTGGGGGTTTTGTAGCTTTTTAGAAGCCATTATCATCAGTTTCTATCAGATATATGTGAGCACATTGGCTCTACGTAGCTACCCTGTCTTTTGCTTGATCAATAACTGTCAACAAGTTACAACCGGGGCTACAAACAGTAAGCTCCATTGAACATCAAGCGCCGGGATGTACTGATGATGGACCACGAACCCCTGAAGCTAGTTTATTTAATTTTCCGTCTTCCCCAGTTTACCCCATCTAAGTCACAACCTCCGGCAAATCCCGCCGTGACATCCTTGCATCACGTCTAGGGTGGAGTTTAGCGAAGTGCTTGAATCGACCCGGTTATCATCTTGAGGGTCGCTGCTCCGCAGCCATCCCTCATCAAGCTTATGGGGACCGATAGAGCCATAAAAGCTCCTAGAGCTTGTCTCGACTTATGACGGCAAAGGCGTTTAAAAGGGTTAAGCCACTTAAATTGAAGATGAATGTTTAGGTAGTTAATATCCGTATATACCTATATCTTCCAACATATAGGTATTAAGGGGACCCGCATCGTGAATGATCTTCTCTGAGCTATGAGGTAGCTTAGGGTGGCAAAGCTCCTTATGCAAGTTCGTCCGATGACAGTTCCGAATTCCAGGTAACAGTATGATCTTCCTTCGCTACCTTGACAATACATGCACATACCGACATCCCATGGGTCTAACGTCAACGACCTTGTTACCGGCCGAAATGTGCATCATTCCCGGCCCTAGCCCAAGGTTGTCTTATTATCCCAATTGGGAAATTTTGAATGTCTTGGCGCTCTTGGCGTGGGCCTACAACTCCCGTGATATTTCCTTTTATTGCAACCCAGATTTTCTCATAGAGCAATCACCTTCTATTATGCCCTCGCTTCTCCTATGTAGCTTATCTCACGACAATTTTGGTCAGCTGCTTTAGCTTCTGTTGGTAACGTCCTACCTTAGGTGTGAGCGACAAATCATTTACGCCTCTTCGCTAATATTTACGGTGAGGACGGACCGACTGATCCAATCTAGACAACTAACGTGAAGCGCAAAAACATGGAACTCGTCCTCTCTATTCCTAACAGGTCTTTCAATGCTACCGGATCTTCTAGCCACAACTGTGGATATTGACATCAATGTCGCATTCCGGTCAGCGCCTCGAACACTTTGATATTTTACTTCCGGGAAATAACTCACGTGAGAGCGTTTATTCACCACCTTGTCCTCCTAATGGAGAGTCCGCCACACTATCACAATGAGTATTGGAGTGCTAACGTAAAAGCTCGCTGTCTCGATGAAATACATAATATCAGACCTTATCTCCGAAACCGTCGCACTCGTACGGACGACATATCTTCTTTCGTCGAGTCTCGAAGACCATGTGCTCAATATCGTCTGTGCGCTGCATACCTACATAGGGGAACCAATATCCTGTCGATGTTGGACGTCAGATCGCGACTAACGCATCATGCCGCTATGTGTGATATTCGTGCTTATTGCGAATCATCTTGCTCCTTCTATGTAAATGTCACAGTTTCCGAATCACGAGAGGCCCAATGCCGAGACCACATCTCTTCCATCACGAAGTCGTATGTACCCCATCATTAAGGGAGATATCC